TTTAAATTATATATGTAAAATTTTAATTATTTGTTAATAAAAATCTTGTAGTTTCTGAAGAGGGCAGCGGTGCTGCTGAAACGTAAAAAGAAATAGTTTTGTTTTCTTTTGTTCGCCTTGACTCGGAGTGATCGTTATCTTCATGTAATATAAAATAGTTACGAGTTTGCATTTTTTCAAAATAGTTTTGTTGATTTAGAAAAATATTTTTGATTGGAAGTTTTAATAGAAAAAATAAATTTTTTTTTCTATTTACGCATGTCTATTTAGAAGCAGAATTCTTTAGAATTTTGTTCATTTTTTTATGAAATTTATTTTTTTGAAAATTTGTTAAATTAAACGGAGCGGTTACGATTTTAGATTGCAACTCATATTGCACCTTGATTTCCATTTGTGTAGTTCGTTTTGTAAAGCTTGTCTCAACTGTCCTTTCATCTGATTCGAGTTCCCATTGTCTATCCTGAAACGGATTTTTTATTTTTTGACAGTAATAAGAACGTCATTTTAAGTTAATATAAATCCAATACTCTTTTTACTGTAAATGAAATTGTGCTTTAATTAATTAGAAAATTTTACTAAATAAATAATATATTTTACAGTTTAAATAACAATTTTAAAAAATGATTTACTATGAAAACAATAACAAGAAAATTGAATTAGTTATTCATGAAAAATGTAAAACTTTTGTGATATAATTCATAATTTCTTTTGTGTTTTAAATTAAAATTTAATAAATTCAAACTGGAAAATTCAATTCATCCAGAGCTCATGATAGTTCGCCTTTTCGATTAAACTGTGTAAAAATTAGTAAAAATTAGTCGCACTTTCTCGATAAAAAAACACTCCTTCTAATTTTGAGGTCACTGCATAAGTCTGTGAAAGTGGGGGACTAGTAACAGATGCAAAAGCACGTTTTCACTGCGCGCCGGGAATAAGATTACACGCCCTTTCGAGGGTTGTGTGAGATTTGCGTGTATACCTGCGGAATAGAAAAAATAAGCTAGAAAAAGGAGGAATAATATGTATAAAGAAAAAGTGCTGAAATGTAAAGTGCAGGCGAAAAAAGAAGAACGCGATCACAATTTTATTTCTCTCAGTGTGTGTTCCATTAAAGTAATAATTTCCCATTCCCTTTCGTCATTTCCTTCTTTTTAGGAGGATAAAAAAAGATTCTACTAAAGCTTACAAGTATCATGCCATTATAACATTCTTGAGTGGTGATTCTCAATAAATCTTCAATGCCAATACACACCAGGTCTATCAATATGGATTCAAACTCGTGAATTCATTTTTTAAATCTCTTATATGTTCCACTTCTTTAAATTTTCATTTTCTTTTTAATTCATTCTATGAATGTTTTATTTGAATTTCAAAATCAAAAACCAAAAATAGTTGCAAAGTGTTTTTCAAAAAAGAAATTTCATTTCAGTTCAATTTCCATAAATAAATAAGTATAATTCTTTATTTCTATTTTATATTTGTATGCAAAATCTTATCTTTTTATTTATTTATTATTTACATTTATTTCTTATTTTACAATGGCTGCTTATTTTTTCGTAAAAAAAATAAAAAGTTAATCGAACAATATATTTTTTAAACAATGTGGTGAAAAAGTGTTTGCATTAAATGGAAATTCATTTTATCCTTTTTTGCAATAATAATAAAAATAAGAATAATCGTAATAATAACATTTACAGTTGTCTTGGATGGTAAAAGGGACAATTTTGAGACCATCTGTACGGAAATATCCAATAAAACCTTCACTTTAGTAAATGACACGATTTAACTTATTGAGAGTCGTTAGACACAGTTGATCAGTTTCATTAGATCGGCATATGGAGCGAGATAATTGGAATTTTCAATTACATTATCGTTTTAATAAAATTGAATTATTATTTAATATTTTTTCTACACGAAAATTTTTTTTGAAACTGTAGGTGATATTCGTTGAAAATACTTTGCATTGCGAAAAAATTTTGTTCAGGAAAAATTTCTCTGATTTTCCCAGAGGTGCAATAGCATGAAAGGATATTACAGGAAATAAAGAAAATAAGTTACGGATAGTCAAATCAATCGATTGATTCCAAACAAGTGGAATGTTAATCAGAGTATTCCCATTGGAAACCTCCATAAAGTTTATTTCTAAAAACTTTTTTTTACAAAATAAAATGATTTTCGAACATTTATTTTTAATATTTTTGTTATGAGTTAAATGATTGAAATTATTTATTCAAATAATTCAAATTCAAATAGAAAATTTTAAATTAATATAAAACAAAATTTAATTAAATTTGAAAATTTACAACACACACACATATATATAAAAGTTTTCTCTGGTATTTAAATAAGTCCACTTTGTTAATTGAACACTAAACTTTCAATTAAATATAATGAAAGTATTGAAATTTTATAATCTCTTGAGAAACATAATATGCAAATGCCCGAAAAGGTCACAGAAAGTAATGATAGTAGAAATATGGGAGGTTATAATAATATATTTATATGTATGATGTGTTCATTTAGAATATCTTTTGGTGAGAAAATATCTGAAAATTTTAGTCTTGTTTCTTCATATTTCACATTTCTATAATTATTTTTTTAAAAAGTGTAAAAATTTTTGTATAAAAAAATCGGAATTGTACGTACAATAATATTAAATAAAACAACAAGGAATATATAAAATAGAAAGAAATGTCAAAATATATATCAAAGACTAAATTAAAAAATTGAGAGTAATATAAAAAAGGGAAAGAAATACAATCAGAGATAATAAAATAAAAATCATAAGTTTTTTATTTAAGGAAATTGAAAGCAACAGCAAATACCATGTTTTGCACAAGAAAAAAATTATCATTTCCCTTATTTTCTATGGTCCTAAAAGTTAACTGTATTTAAAAGAGTTAAAAGATTACAGTTATTTTCCTAATTTAGTTTTGTTGGAGTTTAATAGTAAAAATTCTATTAAAACGAATTTCAAGTGTTTCATTAAAATTGTTTTCATTAACATGTTCTTATCGAAGTTAATTATCACATGTTTAATTTAATTTTGTTCTAATTTTTCTCTTTAATCGTAATTACTTTCTCTAATATTTTTAGATCTGAATATTGATTTCAGTTAAAAATTATTATTAGTTAATTTTAATGTATGAAACAGTTTGTTATATATGTATGTGCTAAAATTTCCAAAGAAAGAGTTACATAAATTATAGATGGCTCCTTTATTAAAATATACTACTTAATTGCTATAATTACTTATTAATTTAATATGTATTATTAAATGAGTTATTTGTTTACTAATAGTCCATTAGAAGAAGATTTGTATTGTTTCATAAAGAGATCGTGACCACGAAAGTTAGTTTCATGAAGGGATTACACATTGACTACTCTTGTATTGGGTTTTCATTTACTAGAATCACGTCTGCTCAACCTAATTACAATTTCAACTTCATTTGTAGAAATTTCTATGTATCTATTAAATACTTAAAAAAAATGTGTTTCACGTTATTCTCTTAAAATAAGAATATTTTGCTTAAAAGTAGAAGATTATTTTATTCTAATATTTTAAGAAAAAAAAGTAGCATAAAGATATAAGTTTGGAGTTCATTTAAGAAAAGAGTATATAAACATCCTCTTAAATTGAAAAAAGATTCATTTTATAGGGCATATAAAAGAGAAATTAAAAATATAAATAAATATATTAGGAAGAGGAATTAGTCATTAAATAATGTATTATATAAAATTCACATTTACAACATGGTTAGATGCGAAATAGATAAACTTGTGAGATTGTCTTTTAAAATTGTGATAAAACGGGATTCATTCCTCTGAGAATCATTCGAAAAATATATCTTTTCAAATTGGATTTAACCCCTCCCTCGGTACGAAACTAGTTTATGGATGAGTGTTGTTTCTTGAAATAATATTTGAACTAAGGCCGGAATGTGATTTGTCTGCTGGGATGAAAACAAACAGAGAAAAAATGAAAAATTGCGTTTATGTTTAATTCATACCTACATTGATTAACAATTTACACGCCCCGTGTTTTTCATCAAAAAAATTAATTTTATTCTAATTTGTTTTTGTAACTTCCATATTGGCGATTCAAACAGCTACACTAGCGCCACAGTTGAACTAATTTAGGCGTGACTCGCTCTATAGCACTCCATGTGTTTTAAATTATTTTTTTTTATTTAACGCTTAAAAATAATTTTACAAACGCAATAAAAATATCAGAATAATTAAATAATTTGAAATAAACTGTCAAAACAGAGACTGCTTTAGAGCGAGTCACGCCTAAATTAGTTCAACTGTGGCGCTAGTGTAGCTGTTTGAATCGCCAATGAGAAATTGTTCACTTATTCAAATTGAAATTTTAACCCTGAATATACCCACGTGGAATATAATTCCATAAAAAAATAGTGGAAATTTATATTTTTCTACATATAGAATTTATTTATCACAAGACGCGATAACGCTTATTTACAGTACATATAAAAGAATTCAGGAGAATTTAATTAAATTTGTTGCCAATTTTTCTTATAAAAAAAGGGAATTTCTACTTGGAAAATGTGCCAAGGTTCTCCTATGGGTCACATTCCGACCTTGAACCTCCCCCCCTCTCTCTCTCTCTTTGTCCTTAAAAATGAAAATCAAAAAGTACAATCATCTGGATACACGCATGAAGCGATATAAATGAAATGAAGGTGTCGAGTGCATTGTGTGCGTGGGGCTTTTGAATCAAATTTCGAAAACCACAATCATAGGAAAATGAGATAAATTCTATTCATCCCATGGTCCACATGTTCGTGTCACGTTTCTCATTTTCGTTGAAGCGAGGGAGATATCCTCTATGGTTGTGAAAGCTGACTCTACTGTAGGTCACCATGACGACCTGCCATGCGCACACGCAAATTTTCTTCAACTATATTGAGAATCACCACACTTACTCTCTCTCTCTCCCCCTCAGGGGTGGTTTTTCACGTTGTCATACCCGGGGATCAAACATCTGGGCGGTGTCTGTCTTTCCGCTTGTTTCCGACCCGATTTTAGTGGACTGACTTTTATTTTTTTATTTTTCCTCTCCTTATCCTCTTTGCTCCCCTTCTTAAATTTCCCGAAACAATAGTGACCTTAGACATTGTCTGAAGATTTTTTTTACTCATCTGCGCTTGCACCACCCTCCCAGTTCACCGGCATCAGTCGGCCGTGAATCTCGATCCGTCGCGCGTGGCTCTCGTGTTTTTCTGTTTTTATCTTCTTTTTATATTAAAAAATAATTTTTGGCAAAGTTAGAAAAGTGAAAGTGAAACATTTTTTACCATGAAATGGTAAAAATGGTACATTCCCTGTAATAGAATGACAATTCACTTTTTATTAATTTTGGGAAAAAGTTTATGAATACATCATTTGAAAAAAACACGTGGTCACACTTAAAATACCTATTCGGTTTAAAAAAAAACTTTAAACATTTATTTGAGAAAATATCTTTATTTTTAAACTGCATTGCATTAGAAATTAGAATATGTCTCGTCATAAAATTAATGTTTTTTATCTGCGCAAGAGGAGAAAATTGAATTTCAAAAGAAGATAGCAGTAGGGAATTTATAACTAAAGGAATAAATAAACTGAATTGATTTCAAATCAAGCTAAATGATTAATTTTCAGATGTGTGTTTTATTATCGCTGACGTATATTTATTTTCCATGGAAAATAAATCTATTCTATTTCTATTACTACTGAAATTTTTTCTAATAAGATGTAAAATGGTATTAAGTAAGACTAAAATTTATTTGTACTCTCGTTTGTACTACTAACTTTTGAATACTAAAATAGTACCGATTTTAGGTATTAAAATAGAACCAAAAGGCAAATTTAAGTGGGTATTAAATTAATACCTTTCGTTTTACAGTGAACAGGTATACAGTTTTTAATATTATTTTTGATAAGTTTTATTCCACTTGTAACTCATTCAATTGTTGCCGTTGTTTTATTAATGAATGTGTGATTCTTAATTTTTTGAACCTGTAATTAAAACATTTTTTAATTTCAATTTCAAAATTCGGTTTTCACATTAATATATTAATTAACAACAAACGATAGCAATTTGACACAATTCAACGAAAATGCAGAATGTAATTAGATATCGAGAAAATATTAATTAAATATTTCTTTGAATGTTTTGTGAGTTGAAAGTTATGCAATTAAGATGTCACATAAATTAAAGCCACTAGCAATTCTCCCCCCATGCAAATGGAGTATGTAAAATAATTACTCCGAAATACTGTTAGAAACAATAAATGCTACCTGTATGAGTTTCATATATATTATTTTTAATTTCTAATCATTGTTATTTCTTTTTCTATTCTTTTATGATATTACTTGGTTTATAATTTTTATTTTCGTTTTACAACTTTTTAATATGATTAATACATTTTCATTTCGTTAATGACTATTAATAAAAAAAAATTAAAAATTAATTGAATCTTAAGTTTTAATTATAATTATAATTTCATAAACAGTTCATAATACTAAAAAAAAAAACTCTGCGAAAATGTGAAATGCTCATAACATAAAACTTTAGAGAATAAACATCTCTTTGACATTATTCTGAAACCAGTTCATATCCATATGTTGAAACTTTTCTTTCATTTCACACAGTTTTTACTTTTATAAGCACTCATCGTCTGTTAAACTTGTCACAATTAAAAAAGTTTTTCTCATTTGTATTTCTCGTTTTTCGGATTCTCGTTCAGTGCTTCTCTTGAAAATAATAATTTAATGCAATGATAATTTAATAATTAAAATAATACTAGTAACTATAATACTAATAAAAATATGTCGCTATAGTTATTAATTATTATAAATCTAATTACTACATGGCAAAAGTATTTGTAGGAAAAAATACATTTTTCTTTATTAATTAAAGTGTCAATATAAGTTTCATATTTATATTCTATTAGGTGATCGATAAAAAGTAGAGAGGCATTTACAATACAATATGATATAATTAATTATCCAGCAGTTAATAGAAGGATGAAATAGGTAATAGCCTCGTAACAATTGATTTTCCATTTAAGGTCTTATCGCACACTGGCACCTTTTAAAATCCTCTTTAAGAGTTTATGTTACTTAAAGGGAACCAATATTTACCAAATATAGGTATATATATATAATATTACAAACACGAATTCGATATATGACGGGTTAAATTGACCCCTATATTTACATTGTAGGTTTCTCTATAAAGAAAAAAACCTGTTCTCAAAATGAGTAGCGTACGCTACTCAATGAGCCAGGTTGGTGGCGCTACTGTCTATGTCGTTTAGTATTGGCTCATTTTGAGTTGCGAATTTTTAAAATCAGTATGGATATCTGAATTTCTTGTGTAGCTGAATTGGTTCAGAGCAATCCAACGGAAATGGGGAGATGTGGTGTTCGGATCCCACCATGAGAGAAGGAGAAGATTTGATTTTTCAGAAATTCTTAGAAAATTTAAATATTAAAATATTGTATATAAGTCTCGTAATAGGATATTGTGCAACATAGGCGTATTGCTGTCACTTTTCAATATTTTTATTGACGCAGGTTAATAATGAATTCATTATTGTCTTTGTTTTCAAAATGCGTCAAGTTTATTTAGTTAAAGAGACGACAATTTTTTTTTTTTTTTTTAATGATCTTGATTAAATGTTGTTTTCAAATAGAAAACTTTTTTCTTTTTTTTTTCTTATAGATTATAAAAATGATAGTGATTCGGTTTCTTTTAGATTTCTCAATTAAATTATATTTATGAGTGTAGTATAAAATAAGTTAATGAAATGATAAACAGAATTTATAACTCTATTATATAAAAACTGAAACGTACAGTCGACTTTTTTTCATCAACAGATAAAAATTAATATTCTTCTCTCGTGTTGATCTTTAATTAGTAATTGAAACAAAATGTTATTCGGATTTATTTATAGTTACTATATGTATACTGATTATTATGATTATTTTATCACAATAAAACAGCCGCTGAAAAATAAGCAGCAAATGAATCAAATTATTATTTAGTCGATTACTAATTACTAAATCATAAATAATCGATTGAGTAATTAATAATATATTTAGTTAGAGTGAATACTTTCTTTGCTAACATTTCCAATTGCCAAAAATTCTCGTTAAAAAAAGTAATAATTAATTGGAAAACATTAATATTAAAAGTAATGTCTTATACATCAAGCATAACTCCCTGAAAAGAAAGTACAATCGGAAATGTTGCCAGTAAATGTATTTTTGAATTTCCATTTTTTTTCTCTTTATTATATAAAAAAATTCTTGAAAATAACAAAAGAATATATAAGCAACATATATCTGTTCTATTTTGCAAGTTTTTTCGTGATGGATAAAATTATTTGTTCTTTATTTACTTGCAGTTTTTCATTGACTAATCTCATGCATAATAAACTATTAATATCTTTGGGCTTTAATAATTTTAATGCACTGAACGCATATTTCTAACTTTTTTTTAATCAAATAAGAAATTAATGTTTGTTAATTATTCAATCACAAAATGATGTTACTTAACTAGATTGCTTTTACCTTCTATATTCCACATTGTAGACTTTTTATAGCTCAATAAAGTGTTGGTGGGTTTAATCGATTTTACGTACAATGACGCTAACAATATAAGTTGTCAACTTATGCTTGATAAATTTCTAGCCTGTGTGCGATAAATAAATTTCACTGATTATTATTATTATTATTTTAATATTTATGTTTTAAGTAAAATACATCAACATTTTTTACATTGATTTTAGTAATAAAAGTCATATATACTAAATGATGTTGTTGATGTTTGACCCATACAAAAAAAAGTTGGATAAAGTGCTTTGAGATAAAAATAAGAATCACAGGAATAAAAGAAAAATAATCCACAATCCCATTTTGAATTCTTTCATGAAGAAGAATGTCGATCGATGATACGTCTCTCACGTGTCCGATAGAAATAAACGATATTTTTTTTTACCATAATCATTTCGCGTTTTTTTAACCTTTTATTATGATCTTGCTCTTGCTGGGATTTACTTTACGAGATGACGAAAATATTTTTCGCAGGACACGTTCGCTTTATTCGCAGATATTTTCAGAAAACAAATAATTTCAAGTATTATAAACAATTTTCATTTTTTTCTATTTCAAAACATGAATGACAAGTTTATAATTGTTTTACTTTTTCGATTTTTATATACTTCCGGCTATTTTCAATATCAGTTGGTTATCATTTTCATTCTTTATAGAAGTTTATCTATATAATTAGAAATTTAGAATTCAATTAAAATAAATATATTTTATTATGCATAATATGTTTGAGAATCAATGAATTCAACTCTGATATTGAGAAGTTAAATGCGACTCACACAAGATTAACGATAACGAAGAAATGGAAGAATTTATGATTTTTCAAAATTTCCAATACAGCCATCGATTTATTACCTATACATTCAGCATTGTTCCTCGTGATTATTTTTATCACTATATATATATAGAAAGAGAGTGTTCATAAACCTTTCTTGCACAGTTCGGAAATTTTGACATTTGCAAATTTTTGATTTACCGATCCTGCCATTTTAAAAATTCGGAAACTGATTAATGAACAGTTTTTGAGTTTTAGTTTTTATTTTTTTAATAAAAATTGAAAAAAACCTGTGTTAAGTATAGCGTAACATTAAATGTTTATTAATTAAAATAAAACAAATTGAGAAATGGAATTAAATAAATTAATTTACAGTTTAGTCTGTCCAAAATTAACGACTCTGTTCAGTACATTATACTGTCATAATAGTAATATCTGCTATGGTCTTCTCCATGTAAAGTTTTTTCACCCCAGAGAACATTCGAGAAGATAATAAAATTTAAAGACAAAGTAATTTCTTTAGATGTTTTTCCACAATATATATATATATATACAGAAATCTTGTCTGTTTTTCCGTTTGTATTATGCATTTATTAAGCTTCTTCTGCCTCACTGGAAAAACAGAAAAAATAATTTCTATTTAAGGATTAATGAGGAAATATTTCCAATTGTAGATTAAAAATTTCTGTAAAAATAATGTACATACGGATATAGATATTTTTAGTCACTCACTTATCACAAAGCCTGAATTAAATAAGAACTAATTGTCAGCTCATAAAAAATAAGTACAAATAAGATAAAAAATAGAATTATAAGACGCAATAAGTAGAATATTATTTTTTGTAAAACTAAATTTTTAATTTAAATGCCCAATATTATTACACGGACAGTTTGATTTTATGGTATTTTTTGTAAAACAGACGCATTTATACGTTTCTATGTTCACACAAACATCAATAAACTATTCTGAATATTAATTCCTTTCATTTTTTCAATTGAATTCCATGACAATGGTATGGACTTTCATTGTATCAATCAAACTCAACCTGTTGGATGTCGATAAAGCGCGTAAAGAACTCAGTAACTAACGGTGAAAAAAGCAAAGTTTGAATTTTTTTATGATTGACATTCTTTGAAAATCTCCAGAAAAGAATTGTTTTAATATAAGTTTTATTAAGTATGGTCTTTAATCTTTTTATTGTTCGTAAATTGTGGACATTGATGACATACAGTTTTCTTTGACATTCATATAAATCTCATATATTTTTTGTTCCGTAGTACATCAAATTGCTTCCTGTCAGATGTAAATCATTTTTCCGAGTCCATCGTATTTCTATTATTGAGATCGATAAGATACTGTTATCGCATTCATCTTTTCTTTTTGTAAACATTCGTTTTGATTAGATGAAATTTTTTTTTGCAAATGATCATTCCATATATATTAAAGACAGATCGTGAGTGGAATTTTATTTTTTAAATGAAATTTGAAAAAACAGTTTTACAAAAAGAGTATTCTGAAAAAATAAGTTTTGTTTTTTCAGAAAAATATTTTTTTATTTATTGAGAAAGTGATTTCAAATAATTTAAATATAAATTGCACAAATTGTCTAACTAAACATTGCCATTACTACATGTACTAAATTTTAATTAAACGGCTGTCAGGCGTGTCTGACTGAAACTTATAATTACTACTTTGGAAAAAAGTGCATTAGAAGCTTCAGCTACGTGAAAAGAACGTAAGGAGCATTTTATTGTGAAACAAATTGTTTGTAATTTAAAATTATTTTTCCATTAAACATAAATTTATTTTATTTGATGTTTTATTTTTTTTATTATTTTAGTTTTGAATACCTATAACACTGGTCGACAAAAAATAATATTTTTTCTGGTTCAAAGATCGGACAAGGCTATTCTTATAGGATTTTCATCGCTGAACACGAATCTGACCTCCAAAAGTTCCCATCACGTCGAGATTTTGAGAAAAATGGACTCAAAGTCTCAAAAAACCCTGTTTTTGGCCTTTTTTCATCACGTGTAGAGAATGATGCCGAGATGCTAGAAGTCTCTAATTAGTCTTAAATTAAAGCTTGAACTGTCAACTATAAGAATCATATCAAAAAAGCTCTGAACCAATCAAAAATTTTCATACCTATAGCACAACTTTTTCATGTGCGCACACACTCTACTTGCACTCATAGAGCGGTACACAATGGCAAACTTACTTATTAATTTTATTTGCGCTATTTATTTTTATTTATCATTTTTGGATTGTTCGCTGAACATTGCTGATTGAATGTAAGGTTTTTATTTAAAAAAAACCTCAAAAATCCCTAGATACCAAGTTTCAGTCGAATCCATCAATTTTAAAAATTTTATGTCAGCTATTTTGAAACCGCCATTTTGGATTTTTTAATAAAAACCTTACATTCAATCAGCAATGTTCAGCGAACAACCCAAAAATGATAAATAAAAGTAAATAGCGCAAATAAAATTAATAAGTAAGTGTGCCATTGGTTCAGAGCTTTTTTGATTTGATTCTTATAGTTGACAGTTCAAGCTTTAATTTAAGATCATTTTTCGTGTCGCCCAGTGTAATAATTTTATTTTTGATATTATTTAATGAAATTATTTTCAGATTAAAACAATATTTTATTTACTCCTTTTTAATTTTTTTTCTATTCCTATTTGCTTTAAAAATGTAAATATATTTAAAATAGTTAAAGCATATTTAACTTAATTTATTATTAAAAAATTCATCAACAAGAGACTCTCATATGTTATGTGACAGTAAATTTCTCGAAAATAACATTTGTTCTGACAAAATTGAGAACTCAGTGAGTGCTCTTGGTTTGTGGCAAGAGCACTTGAGAAAATGACAGAGCAGAAAGTATTTATTCTCATTACATAAAATTTGCACACACATAAAAATCTGTTACGTCATTTAAATTCCACTCAAAATTCAAATTTTTTCTATATACATTTTCAATATTAATTCATTTAAAAAAATTTTCAAAATTTGAAATAGAATAAAAATTTGCCACTTATTATATCACGAAATTAGAAATAATTAATGAAAACACAGAATATAAAAATTGTATTTTTCATAAGTACAGCCACGTGTAACAAATATAAGGGAATTTAATTTAATTTAATTAATTTTTCAAAGAGGCACTGACGAGTCCTCCTATAGACTGGATTATTTCACAATGAATTCAATTCTGATGAAATTTTTTGCATGTCAACAACAATCGAGAAGCACTTTTCAATCGATGGTTTTAAAAAAAATTACGAGTCGAGCATTTGATAGCATTTACTAATCAAATGGGGATTATAAGCATGTCGGAATCTACATTGAAAGCTGACTACAGTCCTCATAATTGGTAGAGTGGAGGTTAAAACGTTGCTTCTCATTTCATTATTAACGAGATTTAATAACGAGAAAAAGAATTCAATATATTAGACGAATTTAAAACCCTTTTCTATAATATTCTATAGTAGTCTACAACATTCATTGGAATAATGATATTCATAAATTGCCTTTTTCAATATACATTTAAGCTTCAATTTCAAGAACCAATTAAACTTTAAAATCTACATTTTTATTTATTATAACTTTATTTCCATTTGTAATATACATATGTATATTGTATTTTTATGTTTTCATTTTGCAATATTTTATAAAAATAATTTTTTACACATTCAATTTAAATTGAACGTACCTAGTTGTTATAATTTTTAAAAAATGTCTTTAATTTTTCCTTAAAAAAATAATTCCAAAACAACATTCAACCTTTATCATATAATTACAAACGTCTTCTGTTGACTTAACTTGGTAAAAAAGTTGCTACATTGCGTGTCAAGTGTACGTGACGAAAGATAAATTACAAAAACGACAGTCTTTTACTGTCCTATTTGTTAGAATTTTTTGTTGTTGTTGTCGGTGGAATTAAGTTTGATGAGAGAAGAGCAAATGTTTTCAGACAAACGTGTTTGTGTATATAATATTTTTCACTTATTTATTTATATGTTTATATGTTATACTTGAATAATTATAATATAGAAAAGTGATGAAATTCAATTTTCATGGAATTACCATAAAGAGCATAAATAATATAAAAATGCGGGTTTTCCTTCAATTGAGACGCAAAAGAACTAAGCGATAATAAACAAATATGGTTCCGACGTGGGAATTTTTTATTTGTATTACATTTGTCATTACAATTTCGAATGGTTGGAGTGCAAACTTGAGAACAGGGCACGAGCATTATCGAAATGATAACAACAACAACAACAACAACAACAACAACAACAAGGAATCAATGCCAAAATTAACGGTGGGCCTAATTGTCCCGCATACAAGTTTTGGTGCACGCGAATACAATCGTTCTATTAGCAAAGCGGTGACGTCACTCTTCAAAAATCGCATCGGCCAAACGCGTAGATATGATTTTTTGAAAAAATATGGATTTTCACCACATGAAGTGAGAACTATAATGATGCGTCTTACTCCAAGCCCAACAGGTAAATTTTACAAATAATCAATTGAAATAGAAACAAATATACACCCAGAGACAGTATTACTGTTACTACATACTTTGTTTTGTGATGTTATATTTTTATCTTCTAATCTAACTGAAACTTGTTTGAGATACTGAATACATTTTTCTACTATCAGATTCATGTTCTTTAAATAAAAATTACATTTATATTAGGTACTTATTGAAACGGTTCGTTTTAACTTTTAAGTGTTATGTTATTTCAGTATTCTTGTCTGACTAAAGTTGGTTTGTACTACTTATTTCTTAAATGACTAAAATACAATTTTCTGTGATACTATGTAATTCATAAATTTTAAATGAACGATATTTATTACTTTATGATTATGCTTTCTTAATTAATATATTAAGGTATAAAAATATTCTTAAAATAAGACTAATATTCTGAAATTTAGAATAACGTTTTTTGGTTGTTCATATCTACTGTTAATTTTCAACAAAAATCTATTTAACATGTCTGACCAAAAAGTACAATTACTATTGACTAAAAGATGAATATTATATTTTCTAAATTAACAAAAAATTACTAAATAGTGCAAACATATAATGTTTATAATCATAATATTTGTCTCAAGTAAAATTTGTGTAGGGTCCTTTTTCTTCATTATACATAAATTGAAAAGTGCTTTCAACTTTAAATGTAACTTTTATTCTTGCTCAACAGGTAGGAAAACACCTGTGAAATGAGATAAGCTAAAGTCGAGGCTAAAGTACATCTCGAGTGCATTTACGCGTATCCAAACATACTTAAAATTCAAAAGGTTGCACATACCTACCACAAAAGTATATGTAATATACAATAATAATGCACATACAATTTAACTCATTATTTTTTTAGACTTGTTATTTTTAATAATAAAATCTGGTTATTTTGTTTTAGGGTAAATTTAATTTTTTATTCATATCTTATTGCTTCTAAATTACTTTGGTTAATGAATTAAATGTTATTAAAATATTTCTGATTAACGTTTAATGGAAATAAAAAGAATAAACACATATTATTTATTTTTTATTAGGTATATAATTAAGAATTAAAATTGCCTACACGAATCTGATGTTATCTCAAATTTGATAAAAATATATGTTAGTTATGTTGTTATACCTTTCTTCCACAGAATTGTTAAAGCAACATCAATTGGTACTCATACTGGAATAAGTTAAGGTCATTTGAGAGATGATGTTAAATAACGGCTCTTTGGTTGGAACATGATATTTATTCCACGCGCGCGTAAACACAGTTTATATTTAGTCAGAATCAGAGAAGCATTTATATAAAGCTGGATGGAAGCATCTTGTTTCATAATGAATTACGGCCATGATTCTTGCCTTAATTAATTTGCCTCCAATTAACACAACTTCAAGACTGAAAGTGTTTTGTTGTTTGAATACACCTCAAGTTCGCCTTGAATGTGAAATATTAACACTTGAAATTTATCGTCAATTTAAATCAAAAGGACACGGTCTAATAAATCATCAGATTTTTCAATTGTAACAAGATATCCTTGGTTTCAATTAATAATTTATTTATTTTTTTTAAATTTGTAATCTTGAAGAAATTTTACGACCAAAAAAAAATTTTTTTTATTCTATTTAATTTATTTGCAAAAAAATGTTGTCTAAAAAATTATGTTTGGCGCAAATAAAATTTATTTCTCTGTAAAAGTCTAAAACAAATATATTTATATGGGTGTAAAAATGTTAATTCTGTAATTTAAATAAAATAATATAAGCACCTATATAATTTTTATTTATAATACGAGAATATGGAATCATTATTAGTTCGAAAGGACTCTAAATATAGAGCGCCGAATTTCACTGGCATTTTGTAGTGGTATAAATATTATATATTTAAAGGATGCCGGAATCTCAATTGAGGTTCATCCTTTGATCATGGACCTTATTGTCTTCGGATATAATATAATACACGGTTTAATGCTTTCTCGGTCATGTGTGTTTACAACACACTTGAATACACAAGGATCTAATCTATATACATATGCGTTTGCGTTTCTGGTTCAACCAATATAACTACATATTGCACATCGTTAGTTAGAATACTGATACAATTGATGGAGCCACTGAATTCCACTGAAACCTCCAAATGTTTACTGACCATCATTGTTCATTTAAATCGTCATTCCCGACAGTTTCTGGTCATGCGACGAATGTCATCTCGTTTATCCTCCAAAATTGATTCTCTTTCGAAATACGCGTCACATTATTGTTTAATGTAGGCCAATAATGATTAAATAAATGAATCTCTCGGCTTTAAATATAGCTATCGTCTTTTTTTATAATGAAATATGCGTTTGACGGTCTGATTATTTATAAATTAATTTAATTTACACATTTACAAACAAAACACAAACATACATACAGTTACAGATGGACCTAAAAATTTTATTTGTAAATGTTAAACTTAAATTAAATTGTGCTTTTGATATGGATTTTCCAGGTTTTTCATTTTGAATATTCATTTAATATTTTTAATGTAATTATAGGTATTTTGTTATTTTGAAATTATTTAATGTTTATAAATATTTTTGATATATTAATTGTGTTTGTTTTACTTTTCTTCTTGTTTTATTTAATTTTGTTCTGTTTTCTTGGCAAGTCTATTCTGCTTTGAAAGTTCAAGAATCAATTTTCATCTTGTATGCTAATATTTGAATGCATCGAATCGCATTTGACTACCGAGGGAATTTAATGTTTAAACATTTCTTTCAAAAGAGGCCTTTAAAATTCTTCCCGAGAAGAAAAACATTTAATATAGTTGCTGCAACATCTCTTTGTAAGGATGTTGTCTCATATTGTTAAAAATTCAATTTATATTCTCTAACAATATATTTCAAAAGAAGTTAACAAAAATTGATCAAAAAGTAAATTTTTCCTCTAAAAAACTTTTTGAGAGTTGGCTTGATAGGGTAAATGTCCCAATTACTGTGATGTACAACCCAAGACCGACTTTAATGATAAAATAATAAAAGTGTAAATAAAATAATGATTTAATTCTTTTTTTTAAATCACTATTAGTGTCTATTAAAATAGAAACTATACTTTAAACTTGAAGAAGTAACAAATATATTATTAAAAATATTAACTTTTTTAAAAATGGCATATGCTGGTATTACTGCAAGTTTGCATGAATTACTGCACACTGTAAAAAATCTTTTTGAAGATTGTACATTCACAATTTGTATTTGTGTTAAAATTTGTAAAATTACTATATTCAATAAGGTTATGTTACTACATTAAAAAGAGCACTTTTACAATTTTCTGTAAATTTACTACTTTCAAAGTGGGTAATAGGTGACGGATGCAACAACTAATTATGTTTCACCTATTACCCACTTTGAAAGTAGTAAATTTACAGAAAATGGTAAAAGTGCTTTTTTTTAATGTAGTAACATAACCTTATTGAATATAGTAATTCTACAAATTTTAACACAAATACAAATTGTGAATGTACAATCTCCAAAAAGATTTTTTACAGTGCAACGCTAAAAGTGTTGATTTAGAGGTTAGGTTGACTGGATAGACCACAGAAATAGTAGCATGAGAAAAATATAAGCATGCTCTAATTACTGTGATAGGTTCAATTGTAACTTGAATAAATAATTTGATAATAGTCGAAATATGCATTAGGAAAATCATTCTATCCAAAAAAAATGGAATAAAATTGATTATTCTTAGTCTACTGTAATTTAGGTTCAATTGGTAGGTTTTTTTGAAGGTATTACGTGTTTTTTTAAGGTAAAAAAATAATAGAGACATGCTGATTAATTTTATTTGAATTTGTAAGGAATTTTTTCATTTTCCAGGAAAACATTCTATTCAAAAAAATGGAATAAAATTGATTATTCTTAGGCTACTGCAATTTAGGTTCAATTGGTAGGTTTTTTTTTAAGATTATACAATTGTGTTAAATCAGCAAAAAATCATTTTGTTGTTTCGGTAATGAATTTCTTGTCACCTAAAAAGCATTCCTGCTGTAAAAAGGGACATGAAACTGAGAGTATACCTATCTCATGCGACTCGAAACTTTACTTTGCAGAAAAGTTGGGCAGGTGGTTAAATGAAGTAATGGATTGACCATTTTCCTGAACATGGGTTACGTACCAAACACGTACAAACACCATAAACAAAAAAAGGAAGGAGAACGAGTGGAAAAATGTAGGTCAATACGAACCAATAATGTGAAAACTGATTCTTAAAGCTCGAATCTCGAAAGTCCGTATTTTCTTTTTTGATCTTTCATTTATTTCAGTATTATTATATTCTCCAGACATTCCAAGTCTTGGGATATGCAGACCGACCACTGGAAAATAATTTTTCTAGACAAATTGTCTCTGACTGAAAATTAGCATAACTAAAACTGCCATTTTCTACTGAGTATAAATATAAACGTTAATTCACTAGTATGGCAGTTGACTTTTACAACTGAAATTAATGTTTCAAATATGACTGACAAACGAATTTTTAAAGAAAGAACCCATGTTCGCCTTGAGCTTGACTATTACTACTGAAATGATACGCAGGAATCACGATTCTCGATCTGCATATAATTTTCCATCCAGGAGAGGTGAAGAAATAAAAGAATCTTCTCTTAAAATTTTATCAACAAATTGGGAATAGAAAAACCCAGGTGGCAATATTAAAAACGAAATGGCCAAGTTAAAAAGATAAAAAAAAACCGTAAACTACGCAAAGTCGTTATTAAATTTCTTACGTATAAATGAAGAGCTATGGATACTTCTCTTAGTGAAAACATTTTTTCAAGTACACTTCAAGTCGACGTGTGAGACATTTATCTCAATTATTTTCCCTGACTCATGTGTGTGGTCGTCTATATATCTATATGTATATATAAAAAGAGAAAACTTTTACGATTAAAGAATGTTTTCAATTCTATAAAGAAAATCTAGCGAGGGCTTTTAAAGCTGATAAAAAAATAAATTTCCTTTTTAAATCAAATTTACAATTACCATGAAACAAAAATATAAAACATATTTTTATTCTTTAAAAACCATTTTCTACTCTATTTCTTTTTTTCGTAATTTTCACTTAAAATTTTTATAATTTTAAATAAAATAACTAATATTTGTAAATTAATTTTTATGCTCGAATAAACAAATTTTCATTGTTACTAAAATATGCATTCGCCACACTTTTTATTTTACTAAAAGTTAAATATAATTTAACATTTAATACCTGGGCTTCTAATTGTAAAAAAAATACTTGTGAATTATTTTACATAAAAAATATTTAATATTCTCCCTTTTCATCTTAGGTTAAAAACAGATAACAAATTGGAGAGCATATGAAAAAGGAAGAATGCCCTTCGAAAGAAACACAATAGGAGATATTGAATTGACAAAACTCAATTTCGTTTTATTTCACTGTGCACAGACCTCTTACCAATCTATCAAGTTCCAATCCAATTGTACTAAAAAGAATTGACGAATGTTGGTCAAATTTTTACACTATATATATTTTATAAAAATTTTTCTATAATCAAAATTTTTTGTAGAAAATAAAAGAGTAGTTCTGTGCAATTTAATATTATATGATGCGATTAGAAAAGTAGTTTTATGTCGATAATAGATCAAAGATCTTTGCTTTACTTGAAAGTATAGATAAAAAGAGAATTAAAATTCGTTTTTGATTTTTTACAAGTCTCTTTTAAACTATGGAAACAATATGAAGAAAATTTTGGTCATATGTAAAACGTTTAAATATATATTTTTTTAAGTTTTGAATGATTTTATTAATAACAACATTAATTTATAGCAAAATGATAAAATTACATTTCTTTAAATTACCTAAATAAATTAAAAAAATTGTAGTGATGATAAATAAAAATAATAATAATAATAATAAAAATAACGTTTGTTGCAGATATTCTGGATTCTTTATGTAAAGACTTTCTCATGTTCAATGTATCTGCTATCCTTTATCTCATGAACTATGAACAATATGGGAGGAGCACGGCCAGCGCTCAATACTTTTTACAACTGGCTGGATACTTGGGAATACCTGTGATAGCTTGGAATGCTGATAATTCGGGTCTCGAAAGGGTAGGTTTTATTAATTTATTTTTTAAAAAGGAAGAATTTATCTCATTTTTCAAATATTAAGATTCTCAAATTAGAATCATACAAATTGTTGTTTTCTGTTTAATAAGAATCGACAAAAATCGAAAGACAAAAAAATTTATTTTTGGAGAAAATAAAAGAGAAATAATATAGGCTTATCATTAATTGTAGATTTAAAAAACACTCATTTTCCAGGCTATAATAGGAAACGTGATTTTTTCGTTATTTCTACTTGATTGCTTTAAGCTGGATACAATTTTTAATATCAGGCAAAGATAAAAAAAATCTCGGTTCCATGAAATTGAGTAATAACTCTCTATTTCCAACGTTATAACCTTTCTAGCGATTATTCAATTTCCCTAAAGCCCCCTGCATTGATATATGAAATAATGAAATAATTTTTCCCAGTGAGATATATTTTTTTTCAAGAATATTATCGTTTATCTTGGACTACTATACATCATATATATATATATATATGTGTGATTATGATTTTTTGATCTTAAAATATGAGATCCTAGATAGTTCAATAATATTAAAAAAAATTTAATTAAATAATAAAGAAATGAAAGTAAATGCAATGAGAATTTTTATTAAAAAGTTTTCAAGATATATTGTGAAGAATGATTGACTGAAATTGTTTGGGCATTTGCATATTTTGTTTAAAGAGAGCCTCGCAGAGTAGTTTGCAGCTACAATTGGCACCGTCACTCGAGCATCAAACTGCCGCCATGTTAAGTATTTTGGAACGTTACAAGTGGCATCAATTTAGCATTGTGACATCGCAAATCGCTGGTCATGACGATTTCATTCAAGCAGTAAGAGAACGTATTTCCGATATGCAAGATACCTTCAAGTTCACTATCTTAAATGCCGTCCAGGTCACGAAGCCTCATGATCTTCTCGAACTAGTGAACAGTGAATCAAGGGTAATGCTTCTGTATTCGACCCGTGAAGAAGCAGCACACATACTCAAAGCGGCACGTGATCTCAAAATAACGGGGGAAAATTACGTTTGGGTTGTTACTCAAAGCGTCATTGAGAACCTACAAACACCACATCAATTCCCTGTTGGAATGCTTGGTCAGTATTATCATTCTCATCAAACACGATTCTCAATTAAACCAAATGGAAAAATTTATATATTATATTTTTATAATTTATATTACTATTTTCATATACACTCCTTACTCTTTTTAATATTTTGTTATTAATTTAGTTAATTTAATCCAATAAAGTAGAAATTAAGTAGGTAATAATTATTATAGATAGTTTTATATTATTATATATTATAGTTTTCAAAAAAGTCAACAAAGATTATTTAGAGAATTTTTTTACTAGTATTTTTAGTAAACGAAACAAATTGACATTATTACATATTTGCCAAATATTTTGTAAAGAAAAAAATCTTGATTTTAAATTTATTGCTTAAATAAAGTTTAGCAGATTTATACACTATTTAAAAAATCATCAATGAAAATACTCATGACTATAATATAAATTTTAGTGCACAACACTCATAAAATTCTATAGCACATTTTATCAAGTCCTGAACTGTCCATTACTTTTCATCATTTATTATCGACTAACACATTATCTGTATTTCAAATTAATCTAAATATAAAATATACACATACTTAAATTTAGCAAATAAATAAAAATCGTTTACTATAGATTATAGAATGTATTCAATTATCACCATAATAATTATTGAATTAGAATAATATTTAGTACATGAAATATAGTTAAAAAAATAATAAATAATAACGAATTTGGTTTTTAGTTAATTTATTTAAGGTTGATAAATTGTCTATCAATAGCTTGACACCAAAAGTATTTTTTTTAGTCGAATTTTCTCGCGGAAAGAATAATAAAGAGGAAAGGAGAGATAGATTTCCGGTTTCCTAAGCGCATAAGTAAGAATTCGTTCTAATGGGTGCTCTGGAAATTATTTAAATCGCTCGAGTCAGGAAGTATGCATTTCTCAAGTTGATTTCTTACTACGAAGATTGTCTTCTGAGTTTATACTTAGAAGAGATTAGGAAAACTTTGTCTCTTTTATGCGGATAAAGCTAAATTATTTAACACATTGTACGCGAGTTTAAAAAAAATTTAAGAAAAAAGCCAGAAAAATAATGAGCAGCGTAATTTGACTAACGATTGCGGAATATTTTAGTTAAAAACGTTAACTTTAGAGTATCTTTTAAAATAACTATTATAAATAATTTTACAGACAGTGTCACACTTAACATTTTTTGAATAACAATGATAACAATAATAATAGAATAATAATTTTTTAACTAAAAAAATAATAAAAATTATAAGAATAAAAAATAACAAATAATTATAGTGTAATTAGGTATAGTACACATATATAATAATTATTGACAACAAAAGAATTTTTATCATTCTTGAAGGCGTTCATTTTAATACGAGCAGTTCAAGTTTGGTGAACGAAATAGCAACGGCTATAAAAGTATATGCTTATGGAGTAGAGGATTTTGTGAACGACCCTGCAAACTCAAATCTTGTTTTAAACACACGTCTGAGTTGTGATGGTCCCGGGGAATCAAGATGGGACACTGGAGACCGGTTTTTCAAGTAAGTTTCATTTTTTTATGCCACAAATCTTCAATAAATCTCATCCATAAATTTTCTATTTGAATTTCAAATCAACCCAAGAAAAAACATTAAGATTGAGCATTCCATAAAATTTTCTGTTTTACACTCGAGATTTTTTTTTCAAGATTATTATCAGCCCTCTATTCGTTAAAAGTTTGGTAAATGTTTTATTCACTTGTTTTTGAAACATCATTGATTTTATTTTTTTGAAAAATACATATATGTATATTTTTCAAAAATTTTATAGCCTGTGATCGTTTACCCAAATAAATGAATAAAATAATTATGTGTCAAAAATATACTTTTTTTCAAAAAAGAAACTTTTTTATTTTTAAATTAAATTGTTGACGATTAATGACAAGGTCTGTGGATTTTCTACAGATATTTGAAAAACGTCTCAGTGGAGGGAGATCCTGGCAAACCAAACATCGAGTTCACGCAAGATGGTGTTCTAAAAGCTGCAGAATTAAAAATAATGAATCTTCGTCCTGGAGTGAGCAAGCAACTTGTTTGGGAGGAGGTTGGTATTTTTTCTTTTAAGGTATTAAATTACATATAATTTAAATTAAGTGTATTTTCAAGAAAAAACTACGAAACCCACAACATCAAAGCTAAAGTTAATTTTCTAAAATTAATAAATAATAAATAAATATGCATATTCATTAATTGGAATCAGTGAAATTTCGCTAATTCAAATTTAGAGAGCAGCATTTCCTAATCAGTTATGAAAAAATTTATTATTTTTTTACACTTATCACTGAAATTAAGTAAAAAATCCGATTTTTATACATAAAAACATCTGTTTTAGAACAAGGCGGAGGTATTAATTTGCAAACCGATACTAGTAATTAGCCAATTATCGAGAATGCCCTGCGGTTCTTATGCGCTAAATACGAACATTCCTACAATAATAACACATTACAATAGCGATTCTTACTTAGTTTTGTCACATTGTGTTTTATACTTCTTATTTTTAGTCAATTTCCATAAGTCGTGCGAAATTCCGTTTAAATTATATTTTGTAATTTAAAATAATGATATTACTAAATTAGCTAAAATTTATTTATTTTAATAATTATACTTTCTTAACATTTATTCACTTACTTGTTTATATCTTCTTTAGTTTTTCCATTTTTCCAAATTTGTATAGAATTTAAATTCTCTCTTTATTCTTTTATTCTCATCAAATCGGATACAAGTATATTAAAAGTTATAGTTTTATAAGAAAAGTTTTGCACAATATATAGAGTAAACTGATATAAAAAGTAAATTAGGAGATGAAAAATGTGTATTTCTGTCTCAGTTTAAATACATATATTTTTCTTTTTTAAACTGATAAGAACTCTTTGGTTATGAACCATAAAGTTACTGTGAAATTTATCTGTTGAATCCCTTCTAGATTGAAGAACATTATTTTTAAAAGCTTTCAGTCGGTCAATATATATATATTTCTGTAATCATATTATTGGTAGTAAAAAGGAGTTTTAGTCAGGCAGCAACCAACATTTTTTGGCATTGAATTAATAGAAATTTTTTGAAATCGAGTTTGAAAATGTTTGCTGTAATTTACAGAAAAGAATAAAACCGATATTTCTGAAAAAAATCCTAAGGGGCACTTTAAGGATGTGTGTGACCCTTAAGGGTATCGCACACTTAAAGTGACAGCGTGTTAAAAAATTCCTGCAAATTCAGATTGGTTTCGAGTTTTATAATTTGATTCTAATTTATGATGACAACGAAAATATATAATACTCACAATTTTTTAATATAAAAGAATACTTATTTTTCGCGCAATTTGGATGCTGGAATGAGATTTTCGTTCTTAAGATCAATGGACTGCCAACAAGACATTTTGGCTAAGTGCCCAAACTCAAAACTTTATAATAGGTTTCCGCAAGTTATCTAAACAATTGGAAATGATAAGCGACTGTCACAAAGGATTAAATTATTAATACCACATACGACAAAAAAAAAATATATATATATAACTAAAATTTTAATTTAGGTGAAAGCATATAAAATGGATTAAGGAACTTTTTTCTATATCGATATTGATTGTAAATGCAATTTTTATTAATTAAACATAACTCTACATATATTCATATTAATTATTACATTGCATTGTTTATCATAACATGTTTACAATTTCATGTTATGTTTACTTTAAAGCTTATTATACAATTAATGTGTTGATTATACTAAAGTACAATACACTTTCCAGCAAATAGGGTTTAAATAAGCAAGTATTACAATAATTCAGAGTTTTTAATATATAATTTGTTATTTTATTTCAATTTTTATTTGAATTTAAATTTACATTAATTTATAATATATATAGATATAAAAAATTATACCTTCAATTTACGAAAATTGTTTAATGAAATTGTTTTTCTAATGAGAATTAAGTTATTAAATATTTGCAAGTAATTTTTACCTTCTTGATGTGTTAATATAAAATTCACCAGGAAATGAAAATGTAATTACCAAACACAAATTAAAATTCTCTCCTGAAATTTTGCACTTGACGTGAATAATTTAATTTATCTTGTCCTTTACACATCAAAAAGAGAGAGAAATATAGATATAGATGAATGATATTCATCGACTCATCACAAAGTACGATCTCTTGATATAAAAGTGCATCCAAGAAAGATGTCTGAATGTCAGGCGGAATATTGGCTTATAAACATTGCAATAGTTGACTATAGTAAAAAAAAGTTTTTTTTGTAAATGATCAACTTTTTTTTATTTTAATATATTATTCCCAACACACATCTATTTTCGTTGACTGAATAGAAAATTGATAACTTTTGTTTTAAACATACACCTACGACAATGTGATAAAAGTATGAAACTTGAACATTTGCAATTCTTTACGATGGCCTTCATAAAAGAAGAAATATTAAAATGTATATATGTATAATCTTTAAAGATTAATATGTTTTAAGTTAATCTACTGGGAATAAAACATAAAAAATTGTTATTTATATGTAAACTCGTAAAAAATGTAAATTTTTTATGTTCGCATAATAATAAATATGTGTTTTTATTATGCATGTATATGAATAAAATTTATATTCACCTTGACGAATATTTTTGGTTATTTTTCTTTCTGGACCTCTTTTCACTGGACTTGACAAAAAAGTAATATTATTAAAAAATGTCAAAATTTGGGTAAAATATATTTTATTGGCTTTTTAAAAAGAGAAGCTTTCTAATGAATTAGTAAAGTTTATTATTCTTTCGCATTTCTTTTGAACTGATAATAATAAACGTGTATCGACAATTTCACACTCTCAAAGTTTTTATTGGTGTTGTAGACGTATTCACTATAGCATTTATTTATTATCAACAATTAAACATAGGACAAAAACTGTTGAAATAAATTGCAAATAAATGCAACTGCCATTCTGGTTGTAAATTTTAGGTACAGTTAACTTTACATTAAATCGATTTCCCTTCCTGTCTTCACTTTTCATTTATTTAATAATTTTTTTTCAACAATTTACACTGTGAAAAAATTAGGGAGTTAACGTTACTGGGAGTTAAATTTGTCGAGTTAAAAATCAACTCAAAAAGGGAGTTAATAATTAAATTAACTCCTTAAAACCAACTCCCTAGGCATAAAATTAACACGTAAAGCATTAACTCCCTTCGCTTCAACTCCAAAAGGTTGGGACTTTTATAGCACCCCTAGGGAGTTGAAATTCAACTCCTTTTTTTACAGTGTATAGAATTTTAATTTGATTTAGTATTATTAAACTTAAACTTTCGTTACGTAATATAAATAAATAATGTTATCTATTCTACAACACTAAATAAATTTCATAAATACTTGTTTTACTTTTATCACTTGACTGGGTAGAAGATTAAAAATTCACTTCATTATTTATTATCATCTTTTTTTAGTTTTTTGTTAATTCAGACCACTAAGGAGACTAACAAAATATACAATTAATGGTTCTTATTATATATGTGTCTATGTCGTTTAGCATTGGCTCATTTTGAGATGCAACAAAAGTGAGACTAGGTTTTTTCTGTGATATTTTATTTTGCTTCATATCTTATTTTTGTTTGTATTCGAGACGACATTTTATGTGAATTTTATTTTTATTATAAATTTTGTTATATTTCAGATCGGAGCATGGAAATCATGGGAAAAAGAGGGTTTATATATAAAGGATATTGTGTGGCCGGGAAATACGCATACACCCCCTCAGGGTGTTCCCGAAAAATTTTATTTAAAAATCACATTTTTGGAAGAACCTCCTTACATAAATTTGGCACCTCCAGATCCAGTGACTGGCAAGTGTTTGATGGATCGAGGAGTTCATTGCCGTGTTGCTAAAGAAGCTGATATGGCTGAGTAAGTTCTTTTCTTTTTTCATATTTTTATTTTCAATCTTGATTATCTTACTGTAATTTGCTCGTGAAATACTGAAATTTTTTTAATTCATTTTACTAAATTTATTAAGTATTTTTTATTTTTCTTGAATTTATTTTTGATTAATTTTTCAATTCAATACGATTCATTTATTTCATTTTGGGAAAATATTTGGTAAATATATTTTGTGGGATATAAACTTTTTTTATCTCCTTGGGGATATTTAAGGCTGAGCAGTGAAATGGTCGATTTTTCTCGGACGGAATAAAACAATGAGATTTTCGTACGAAAACAACGATATAACTATTGCCCATTTGAACGAAACTGGCACTAGCAGCTTTACGATTAATTCGCAACGAAATTTATTTACAGATTTATACGTGAAAAAATATCAAAATAAAAGGTAAAAAGAAAACTAGAGAAAAAGAAGATATTCTCACATATTTGTTTATTTATTATTATTTTCCTTATTAATTTGTTCGTCGTAAAAAAGAAATCATTTTAAAGCAAATGGACACAATCGATCGAGTTAAATTAAATGAATATAGCAATGAATGTGAACAATAAGAAGATCATATTGGGCATATTCCGTGCTGCTTGGGAACTTGAAAAAAATTGTGCAAAACTAAATAATGAATATCTTTCTGATTTTCTTTGAGAATGGGCATAAACTTCTTGTAAATATTTCGCGAATGTTGTTGAAAGTTTCTGAAATGATTACATTCGTAATTCATTTTTTTTTATTTTAAGAGAAAAATAATATATATTCACTTTTTTCATTTCCTTTTAATTATTAACATTTTAAAACTTTCTTTCTTGTACTTTCACAGAAAAAACCTGAATTCAAATTGAGTATAGATTCTATACTCAATTTGATTCGCAACAAAAATGAAACTGGTTGTCTCATTTCGAGTTCTAAGGTAAAAGTATCAAAATGAAACAGGCAAGTTTCATTTTGAGAAAAAGAAAAATAGAAAAATATTGTGAAATAACGAATAATTTTGCACAAAAACATGAAATATAATAATTACAAAGAAGTAAATAACACGCTAGACTTAATATATTTGATTAAAAATTGCTTGTAATCGCGTAATAAAATAATAAAGGAAATATGTTTTTAGGTTAGAAAAATGAAAACATGTGTTTTGACAACAGGAACGGTACTGCCAACTTAAATAATAGCGGTAAATTTAAAAACTTAAGAAATTAATTATTATCTACGTAAATAATAATAAATAATTTTTATTTAAAAACTTCTAAATATTCGTACTGGTCAAAATAATCTTTCTGGTGTTGTTGAAATATTAGAAACAATAATTGAAATACAAAATTACTCTGCTTATGATGCCAACTTAGAAATCTGAAATTCCAGCCAATATCATTTTGAATAACATGAAGTTTGTCCCATACTCATTTCGATACCCAAAAGAAAATGAGTTGCAACAAAAATGAGTCCAAGTTTTTTCTGTGTTTTTTACCTCTTTTATTATTATTATTTTTTTTTATTTGTCAAATCGTTATTTCAAAATTTTTTTATTATTAAGAAAAAAATTTAATATTTAATTGTTAGAATCTCATTATTTTGAGACGTGAAGAACAAATGTTTTTTTCTTTTTCGAAAAATGAATAAGTCTTGGTATTTTTTACCCACCGCGAACTTTTGAATTTGCTATTAAACACAAAGGGAAAATTTTCTTGAGTCGTTGCAGTAAAAATATAAAAATTCGAAAGCCTTTCATCATTGCAAATGAAACTCTTTCGTATTCGTTTAATTCCTGAATGGAACTCATTTAAAATATTAGTTCGTTCTTCGAATTTTTCATAAAACGAATCAAGAAACTTGTGTTACTGAAGTACACTCTGACATTTCTCATTTTGCAGTTTATGCTAAATTAAATTTACTTATTTACTCATTAAAGGTTCACTAAAAAGGAAAACGTGAAATCGAATTTTAGTGAAATAAATAACTTAAAAAAACGATTTTATTTACAAAACCAATTAAATGATTTATTTATTTACATGTAAACGGTTTAATTAATAATAATAATATTGATTTCATTGTATATACCCTAAACGAAGCCTTTACAATTTCCTTCTGTTGAAATTCTTAAATTCTTGGCTTTAGAATAACTTTTATTAGAAACACTCGCATTTGCCTGCAGTGGAAAACATCAGTGTTTTAGTGAGTAATCTATAACAGAGCTGAGCCATGAATTTTTTCTACTAGAGGAAATGTACCTTCCTTATAATGATGAACCTTTATAAATATACAATACAATCCAGGAAAAAATGTCAACTAATACTCCGCATCAAATTGTGAGGATAACAATATTAATGTTCCATTCCCGCAATTTCGCTCGGGGTATTATACAAATTCTAAGGTTATTGACTTCGGAAATGTTAGATCCGTTCAGAAAATCTATTGTAAAGTCAGAAGGAGCGATTATGTTCATTACAGTGGTAAGAGTAGTTTATTGCGGTTTCCGTTACGTCGGGAATTTCCTTTTGCTACAAAATTAGTTTGACTTTTCAATATCAACAAACTTATGCAAAAAGTTATTATAAATAAATTATAAAAAAAATGATATATTAAAAAACGATTTATTAAAAAGCAAATATTGAATAAATATTAAACAATTTTTTATTATATAAAATAGCAATTATCACGAAATAATCAATTGAAGTAGATTGTACGAAATGAACTTTGATCTCAATATAGATCAGAGGTAAATTTACCTTTAAGCTTCTATGAATTACCGCATTTTTGGTATCGAGAAGACCTCCAGTGCGCATTAGATATTCAAGTTAGTCAACGATCCAAAATTAATAGAAAGTTAAGCAGGTGTTCGAAATACTAAGACTTGATGAAGCATGATAGCTTTCCACCTGATCAATAATAATTTATATTCGCGATGTAAATTTACCGTCAGCTTGCTGTACAAATTATCTTTTCAATTCACACACATCATTTGAATAATAATATAATTTTCAAGTTTTCCATTACAAAGGAGTTTTTTATTTTATTCCACGATTTAAGATAACGTAAAAATATCCAGGCAGCACATTTTAAAGATAAAAATCGGATTTCATCTTCACGGATGTATGACAAAGCCAATAGAATAGTCTGTTTGATTTTACAGTGAGATAGAAACCGAGATCGTCATTTCTTTTACTCATAAAGTGGATCCGAATTTAATTAATTTCCTCTATAGAAATTTCTAGTTTTGTCAAAATTCGTCAACATTTTTTTTTTTTTTTTTTAATTAAACTACATATATACGAGTTATTTTTTTTCTCTTGTTCTTTGGGCAAGAATCTTTATTCTAGGTGAACGCAATGTGGAGATAATTTGTTAAAGCATATTAAAAGGGGATGCAAAGATTAAAATTAATTAAAACAATTCAACTTTTAATTAAAAAAATCACTTTATTTAAGAATTTTTAAAATTTTCTCTTTTTAATGTAACACTTGATTTTCTTCTCGCAGTTACAGTTAAATATTTTATTCCTCTTCTGACGTGTTTGCTAATGTGTCGTTAAAAATTGTTTATACAAAAAATATTATAAAAACCAGTTGTGTTAAAAAATGAAAAGTTTTTATTCTGCTTAACATGTAGGTATATTGTTTCTATATGAAACAGAAAAGTGTTCGATTTTTTACATCATATATAAACAATGAATTATTGATTGTATTATTGTTAATATTATATTATTATATGTCAAACATTATTATTTAATGCATTACAATATTAATTGTAATAAAAATGAATGGAAAGAAAATTAGTAAAGGAAAAAAAACACGTGAAACAATTTAAGAAAGTGAATGACGCAAATAATACGAAAAAGATTTTTTTAAAGGAGTAAAATAATAGTAGTCTTAGTTGAATTTTGACTATCTTTCATTATAATTATAAAAATTCCCTAGTCGAGAAGAAAAGTGATGGGAATTTAATTTCTCTACTTAACTATATGACACGGATGTCTGTTTTTCAATTATGATAACGCGACCGAGATAATAATATAAAGAGAGACGAAGAACATTTGGCGCTTTATGCAAACGGAAATCCTTTATTGTTCACTATTTTAACAACGAAATGAGAAGCTTCCGTTTAAAATTTGGCGTTAAATTTTATTTTTCTCTATATTCAATCATCATCTTTTTCCTTCAAATGAAATCTCATTTATAAACAATTATTATAATACTATAAACATAAATAAATAAATTAAGTTTATAAATAAACAACTTAAAAAAAAATTATTTTTATTAAATAAAAAAAAATTATTACTAAAATTAAAAAGAAGTTTCTAAAATTACATAGAGTTTATTGTTTATAAATAATTTTATTTATATTTTTAATGATTTATTATATATAGGAATTTTTTTATTTTAATGATCAAAGACATTTTTGTATAAAAAGAAGAGAAAAACAAAAAACTTTCTAATTTTGATCAAAACTTCAATTACAATTGGTGAGACGTTTTGGAGGAAAATTCATAAATTACTCAACAGCTGCTTGCAACCAAAAATTGAGAAGTAGTATACGGAACTCGCAAACTTCTTACGACTTGAAATATTTAAAGAATCTTTGTTTTAACATTAAATATGCATAACTCTTCTCTTTATAGAAAAGTTGATATTGTTTGCCAAACGTTTTAAATTAATATAAAATTTTTAAATAAAAAGTAAACAAATTTTGTTTCCATTTACGGAATTCTCGAGTATTTAATAACATATGTATATCGATTAGTTTGATTACTTGGAAACATGAATAAAAGCAATAAAAATAAAAAAAATAAAATGGAGTTTCGAAATAACGGCAATAAACTTGAAGTTTAATTAAACTAAAGGTAAATTTTGTTTTATTAGTTTATTGAGAGTTTCATTACAAAACGATACTTAGATTTAAGAGGAGCGACAAGCGGATTGCATAAAATTTACCCGAACTAAACATACATATATCGATTGTCCAAAAATCTTAAGAATTTCTATGAGGTTAACGAAATTTTGGATACAGGGGTAAGGATCTAAAGGAGTCGAAATATCTACTGAAAATGTTAAAAATATAAAAAAAATACAAATTATAAGAAAGTTTTAAACTATTTACATCTTAAATTCAGCCCATTGTATATTTTTCTTAAGTTTACAATTTAGCCCCAAAAATAGGCTGAAATGAAAACTATTTTTTAGTTTGAAGAATATATCGACCAAAATTTATAAAACTTTCTCTAGAAATTGAAAAAAAATTTCTCATAAAATATTCAATAAATATTTAACGATTCTAAATGGGGTCAATATGCATATTAAATGCCAATTTTCTGAAATGGTTTTTTATCTCGAAAAATGTCAATTCAGACTGCATTGACTGAAACCATGATAAGTTAACGCCTTGTCAAATTCTAGTTAACTTTGATCGAAAAGATAATCCTTTTGAATGACTTTATACTTGAGACGAATAGAGGCGTGCTTGAAAGTCTTCCACTTTTTTCCGGTTCTCCAATCCATTCGAATTCAGGAAGCAAGTGCAGTTCCATCGACATTTGAAAAGTTCCAAACTTCCCTTTGATAATATCGAACACTCTTGTATATAAGGTTTCTTTCTCTATAGCAACCGTTAAGCTTTACTCCAATTTTCTTGAAACCTTTGCTTGTCAATAAGTCTTACATTTTTTTGTTATGTTGTGAATGACTCAATGTTTTCCACGTTCTTTTAATTGTGAAATTTAAAAACCTGCTTGTTTTTATTATGTGTAAAAAGAAACAGGTATTGCGCAATTGTCTGTTGTTTACAAATTTAATTTAAAACAAATTTTCAACTTTTTTTACTTCGCCGAGCTAAAAATCGTAGGTGTATAAAAAATATTGAAAAATAAATTGTTGGAGAGCGTAAAATTGAAATTTCTGTCTTCAAATTTTAAATGGCTTTATATTCTGACAAAAATGGTTGAAAGTTGAATCTCATTTTTAGAATTTTCTTTCAAAAGATGAGAATATTGAGTTTAATAAAAAATAGTACAGGAAGTAGTAAAATCTTTGAAAAACAGAGAAGACATTTTCAATGTCAAATATGATCTAGTCCCATTTTGCACTTTAGACAAAAAGACATAACTCAATTTTTGTAATTTCTGTCGTCTCAGTAGTAGAATAGACTTTCTATCAGATAAAATTTTCTTCAATACCTATAATTTTTGTTGCAGCAGTATATAATATTTAATAAAAACTAAGTAAAATGAATGCGTCTTCACTAATGGACGTAAATGTTTTGTAAAAGTAAAAATAGAATTAAAGTTATTGAACTTAAGAAAAAGGAATTATCACGCCTCTCTATTTTGCTGTTAAAGCGATGATTGTGCAAAATTAATGGAACCCGGAAGTCTTGACTGATGGAATAAAACGTTCCATTAATGGAAAGATAGAATTTACTTTCTCTTAAAATTATGTTTCCCGATTAAATTTTTTATCATTTCCTAGAACTCTAAATATTTTTTTTATGTTTAATTTTATATTTAAAAAACAATAATAAAAAATTTAGTTAATGAAATCAATGAGGCAAAAACAACATTTTGCAAAATAACAATTTACTTGCATTGGAAAAAATCTGAAGCATAGTAAAAATAGAGATAACGTGGCATAATTTAAAGATTTTAATTTCATTTTTATAATTAATAATGTTTGCCAACAAATTTCTCTGGATTGCAAAACGTTCAAGAGGATTAACGTTCTGAAGTGTTCCAAGTAGAGATTATTCAAACATAATTAAATTTCGATTAAAAGTTTGTTCTAATTAAATTCATTGATCCCGCAGTGTCAAGGAATTTGAATAAAATACTCTCGTTTGTGGTATAATTTTTTATTCTTGTTATTTGCTTCCTATTTTTTAATATTTTAATTAACTGAGAAGTTTTATTATCTAAACATTTATTATATCTAGTATTATTTTTAAGTTATTATTAAATTTTACATCATTAAGAAGAAGCGTTTATAAAAACAAAATTAATTATTTGTACAAATTAACATTTAAAAATAAAAAGAAAATTTAAAAATTATTCATCAGAAATAAGAATAAACTTTGATAAAAGCAAACATTTCGGAATTTAATTTTGATATTTTCTGTAAGTGACAGAAGATGTCGATTGAGTTTCTGGACCGGATATTAAACTTAGGACCTCTTAACATTCACAACATCTACTGCTAAGGTGGAAGTTTACTCAGTCGGAAATTATGAGGCTCTTGTAATACTCGTAGTCACCTCTCAACTCACATCTCAGTTTCCCCTAAGGACACATATTTTGTCCTTCTTAATAAATAAGACACTGAGAAATATTTTTTTCCAACTGACATTATTTATATGTATACAGAGGAAAACAAAGCTCCCCCTCTCTCTCTCTCCTTTTTTTAGCTCTTCAGTGTGTTAAACTGGAAGGAAAAAAGTTTACTGGATTTACTTTTATATTTCACTCTCTTTATTTTTATTTTCTTTTGTGTGGACTGGATTTACAGCAAAAAAGTTCTATTCTTTTGTTGTTTGTTTATGTGTCCACTATACATACCGAAAAATAAATTTTCTTCCTCATGATGACACTCTCTTAACACAATAGAATTGTTCGAAAATTAGTGAGTTACAAAATATATAGGTAATGATTGCACTTGAAAAGAGTATTAATGTTTTCTTAATTAACAATATTTTTTTTATTTTTTTGCGAATAAAAAAATGTTTGTCAAAAAGTAAGAAGAATGATAAAAAAAATTGTATTGAAAAAATTTTGTGGTTTTGAGAAACAAATAGAATTAAATGTATCTTTTTTAGAGTTTTGTACCCGAAGAGGGAACCCTATTAATGAGACTAAAGAAGCAAAGCATGTACCACTCCCCTAGCGGCCACACGAATTTATCTGGAGGGTTGAAATTTGGTACACATATGTATTTTCGCGTGTGGATTTCAGGGAAAATATAGCGAGAACCGCGAGAACGATTGGAGTTAATGATCAAATTGTTTTTAAGGGAAACTGATATTTTTGGAAAAAATTATGGATTTTTCCAATAAAAAAAGAAGAAAATTTTATCTAAAGGGCTTCAAATTTATATATACATTGTTATGTATTTTTACGTGTAGATTATAAGAAAAATTTAAGAAACATGATAGGAAGTTTTTTCTATTGAGCTTTTTCGAAAAATAAAATTTTTTTAAAAAGTGTAGTTTTCCTTTAAATCGAAGTACGGAACCCTCAGTTTCAATACGAGTGTAACTCGCACTTGTCCGATTTTTTCAACTTGATTTTATAGAATACGACCAATCTAATAAATAATGGAAGAGATTGATGAAAGCTGTTTTTTTGCGTGAGTTGCAATTAAACATATGAATGATTTATATTTCAGAATGGACATGCAATCTGCTCAACGAAATGAGAGCCTTTATCAGTGTTGTAGTGGATTTTGTATTGATTTACTTCAAAAATTTTCCGAGGAAATTGGTTTTACGTACGAACTTGTCAGAGTCGAGGACGGTAAATGGGGCACTTTAGAGGTAAGTCCGAAGGAGGGAAGACATTTTTACAATACATAAATGAACGCAAGGATATATAGGTATGAAATAAATCTCTCTGAGATTTTTCAAGTTATTATTATTATTAAAAAAAACATAATAAATAATTAAAATGTGTGTAAAATTTATCAAAATTAAATAAATTTACTTGAGAGAATAAAACGAAGCAATTTTGTAGAATGGAAAATGGAATGGACTCATAGCTGACTTGGTGAATCGAAAAACGGATATGGTGATGACGTCTCTGATGATAAATTCGGATAGAGAAGCAGTAGTCGATTTTACAGTGCCCTTTATGGAAACGGGTATAGCAATTGTAGTTGGGAAAAGGACAGGCATCATTTCACCCACAGCATTTTTAGGTAAATTATTTTAAAAAAACAGAGAATATTATGCAAATAAGTATATTATATACACATAGTTTTTACAAAATTCGTTTCATAATCAAAAATGGAAACTATAATTACAGAATTTTTGCTCCATAATCGTTTATTTTTCAGATCTCTAAGGCCAATACTACCCAGAAAGTTTTCTTCTTCATTTTTTATTACACCTATTTTGTCATCTTCAATAATTATTTTGATATTTATTTGTATGTAGTATTATTTTTTTAAAATTGACTTTTTAAATTAAAATTTTTTCACTCTTTTTTTGTTTTTTAATTAATTTTTACAAAAACTGGGTTTTATTTTGAAGGAAAAACTTATTTTATAAATTTTTTTGTTTAATTTAATTATATTTTCTGGTTGGTATTAATGGTTTTTGGGGTTAATTTTCAGAACCTTTTGACACGGCTTCCTGGATGCTGGTTGGTTTCGTAGCCATACATTCTGCAACTTTTATGATTTTTTTCTTCGAGTGGCTCTCACCATCCGGTTTCGACATGAAGGTAAACCCTTCAGGCGCTGCCCGGAAACTGGTACCTTTCATTTTGCTTCTTATACCTATTATTCTTTATTCACCTCGTAGCACGCATTCACTTTAGACAGTCATGTGGATCTGATGACACACTAAGCACGTATGTGTTTGTTATTTGTGTATAATATTATTTTGCTGCTGTTTCACTCTCTTGTCACAAATTTTTCTCTCAATTTGTCCACATTGTTCATTTCCGTCAGCGAGAGGAATGGAAATATCTTACAAAAAATATTTTTCGAAATATGCTTTATTTAAATTTCACTTTTATGAAAAAAATAGATATTCATAGAGAAGATTTTTATGCGAAAAGGTATTTTTACAAAAAAAAGTAGGTGCGCAAATATTTTTTAATAACGAACCTTTGAAAGTTTTTTAATTTCGAATGTTTTGCCTTAAGTACAATTTTATTTAAACTTGTTCAAGTGTAACATTTACAATTAAATTAATGCTTTATTTTTTAATATATTTTTTGTAATAATTATTTTTTTATAACAAAGATATATACGTTACTTTGTGCTTTATATAGAAAAACTGATTTTATTAATTAATGAAAGTCAATATAGACAAGCAAATAAACTACAAACACAAAGTATATAAAGAAAATGTTAATTAATAAAACGCTTGCATCAACGGTGAATAAATATACGTATACTTTTGTTGGTCTTTTGCTTCATGTAGTGCATTAAGTTAAATACGTAAATTTGAAAATTACACATTTCTCTCGGTGAGTATAAAACCTCGTAACTTTATCTTCTATACCTATTACATATTACATTTGACCTGGAGCTTTATTCACTGAAAAATAATTTCTAAACTGTGTACTCGAAACTGAGAAATGTATTTCCACTTGTCTGATTTTGTGTATTAAACCCTATGCTCAACATAGTCAATTTCAAGTTTACCTCCACAAGAATAATATTGCATAAACGTGAAATTTGTAGTTTATTATATGACAAAAGCATTTTCTACATTTATAAAAAAGAGTAATAATTAATTAATTATTCCCAAAGGTTTACAAAATCACTTTCTAGGTAGAAACGAATTTCTGTCCTAAACATGAAATATTAATGAAACTGTTACTCCAATTTATCATTTGTATATTGCATTGATTTGATTCTGTATCTGAAAGTCTCTATGTTTAGAAATCAAACCAATTTGTCTGATTGGAAAATAATGTATTCTGTACACAGAATAAATATCATTGACCACAGCATGAATATATATATATATGTATGAATAGATTATATATAGTATAATAAATAATGAAAAATAAATAAAAAGTTAAAGAGAATATAAATTCCATTTCGAAATTAAATTGAAATTTAAAAAACAATGATATAAAAGATGATTAATAAATTCGACAACGTTTTTACTGTTATGTCTTTTCTTTTAGAAAAAATTTCTTTTAGATGTACACTTTGGGGCCGTCCATAAATTACGTAAGACTTTTAGGGGGGAGGGGGGGTCAAGTATTTCTTACGACCAATAGGAAAAATGGCGCTAATGCATGTAAAAAATCTTACATAGGGGGGTGAGGGGGTTCAAATGACCAGAAGAAAGTCTTACGTAATTTATGGACGACCCCTTTATAACGAGAATTATTTGTACAGACAAACATTTAATATGAATATTTTTCTTCCTCGTGGAGAAAGTTTTGTAGTATTTGGATATAAATTTTTTTTGTAAATTCATTAGACAAATTTTCCTCTATTTATAAATGTTATGTAAGTTCCTGATGAAATGTTTTTTTTCCAAAAGTATTTATTTTTATGAAAAAAAAACTGCCTTTGTTTACTGTCTGACCAAAACTTGCATTTACTACTGATAAGTACTGATTAACTGAAACTTGTTATTATTGCTGATAGTAGTATGTAAATATGTGTTGTAAACAAGTGTAAATAAATAAATAGTTTGATAAATTTTTTATATATTTTTTTATTTTCAACTTCTTTTAAATTTTTAATTTTAGTAATTTATTTAACTTTATTATTTTGAACTCGAATTCACCTTTAGAGAAAATGATAAAAATTTTGATTTTCTTTGAATGATGAATCAATGTCTACTGCAATTGAATCTTTTGCAACGATACTTATGGTAATATTCTTTTTTCTTCTCAATCTTTACAGACAAATCCACCACCTACTCATCGATTTTCATTGTGTCGAATCTATTGGTTGGTTTGGGCCGTCCTTTTCCAAGCAGCCGTCCATATTGATTCACCAAGGGGATTTACCGCCAGGTTTGTATATGTGTTCACGATAACAATATGCTAATTACATGGATCAGATTAACATCAAAATTGTGTTATGATTGCGTATACGTCGCTTTACATTTATCACAGGGGGTATATCTATTATATTGACGCGAAATTTTAAATATCACTACATATAGTTGATCAAGTTAATATTTGTATTATCTTGTTTTCGCTAATCAAGTTAAATTTTAATTATAATTCTAATTTGAAATAACCTGATAAATAATTGCACTTTAATTACCGCAATATATTATAATTGATCGAAATATGTAAATTACTTTTCCCGGTAAACATTTGGGTAGAAATTGAAATTCCATCTGTTTCAGGTTTATGACAACTACATGGGCAATGTTTGCCGTGGTTTTTCTTGCCATATACACTGCCAACTTGGCGGCATTCATGATAACAAGAGAAGAATATTACGACTTTTCAGGAGTGGACGATGTTAGGCTTTCAAAGCCATGGTCCCATAAACCTATGTTCAAATTTGGCACTGTCCCTTTTACTCATACAGAGAGCGCTCTCTCGAAATACTTTAAAGAGATGCACTCTTACATGTCACTTTTCAATAGGTCAAGTGTTGCCAAAGGCATCGAATCTGTGGATAATAGGTAAGAAAGACTCTAATTCATTTATCGCACATTTCGTTTCATAAAATATAGATTGGTGATATTTGAAAAAATTTGATTTTTCAATTCAACAAAAAAAAGAAGAAAAAAATATTTCAATTACTGATGAGAATAATTATTCAATTTGATTCTTTGTAGGGAATTGGATGCCTTCTTTTATGATGGTACCGTGCTCGATTATCTCGTGGCACAGGATCAAGACTGTCGTCTTCTAACTGTTGGTTCTTGGTACGCGATGACCGGATATGGTCTTGCTTTTCCCAGAAATTCCAAATATCTGCAAATGTTTAATAAACGTTTGTTGGATTATCGAGATAATGGTGAGTAATTATCAGAATTAGCATATTTTATTTTTGTTTCTAAAATCGTGGTAAAAAAAAAGTATTAAGCAAATTAAATTACTGGTTCTGAAGAAATATAGATATTATTGTTGCAAAAAATTAAACGGATTTTTAAAACATCAATCTTACTAATATTTAACTATAGATAAGATGATTTCAAGAAGGAACGTGTGATTGGATTTGCTTTTTACTACTGACAGTAAAAAAAAACATGTAACTTAAAAATTCCGAGGAAAACATGAAGAGAGCGATCACTACGAGTCAAGGAAGTGATTGTTATCTTGGCATATTTTATTACTTAATTAGTGGTAAAATCATGTTATTCTTGTTGAATAATTTTTTTTATTACATTATACTGTTTGGCGTTGTCAAGTGAAAAATCGAGTTTCAGGTGATTTGGAGAGACTCAGGAGGTATTGGATGACAGGTACATGTAAGCCAGATAAAGAAGTTCAAAAAAGCAGTGATCCTTTGGCTCTGGAGCAATTTTTAAGTGCATTCCTAATGCTCATGTTCGGCTTTTTCGTTGCCGCTGTATTATTATTGCTCGAATATTTATATTTTAAGTACATTAGACATCATCTCGCAAAAAGTGATCGAGGCGGATGTTGTGCTTTACTCAGTCTGGTAAGTAATTGACACCAAAAATTATTTACATGAGAAATCCAACAAATATTTAATAAAACAAAGAAAATTGTTTAACGTAGAAAAACAAAACTGTTATACTGACATTAAAAGTAAAAAAAATTGTTTCTTATTTTTACAGAAGTAATTTAAAGAAATTTTGATAACATTTTAAAATGTTTTCTTTAAATTAAACAAATAAATTGAAAAAATCCGCATTTTAGAATAATAATGCATCAAGTATTTTTAAAAAACTTCATTTTCATTTGCCGCTTAAAATTTTTGCAGAGTATGGGCAAGTCGCTGACCTTTCGTGGCGCTGTTTATGAAGCCCAAGACATTCTCAAGCATCATCGATGTAGAGACCCTATTTGTGATACTCATTTGTGGAAAGTCCGACATGAACTAGACATGGCAAGGCTTAGGATACGCCAGCTAGAAAAGGATCTTGAAGTGCACGGGATTAAACCATCCCAAGCCAAGTACGCAAGTCACATTTGTTTTCTCCTAATCCTATTTTATGGCTAGAAGTACTCAACCTGATAGTGTACCGAAATGCCCCGTGGTTTCAGACTCTCTCACTCTCTCTCTCTATATATATATATATATAGCTTTGCAAATATAAATCACTGAGAAAATGTCTCAGAGGATTTTATGCGATTATGTTAAAAGATTTAGATATTTTCAGCAGAAGTTTGACCCGTTATTTTTTTAAAACTTTGATCGTATACATTTGACAAAATAGAAAAATCTTTCATGATAAAAACGCGGCTGTGGGCCCGCTGAAAATTTATGCATGCTTTTAGTGATTTTATTGTATATATTTACAAATTTTATTATGTGAATATGATCGGCAAATTTTAAGGTCGTCACACGCAAAAAAATTTTTTAACAAACAATTTATTAGTACGAACTCACTATTAAGAAAGATTTGAATAATAGCAAGAAAATTAAATAAAGCAAATGAAGCTTTGAAAAATGAAAGAAAAATGAAAATTTATATACAAAAAATTAGAAAATTTTGTAGAAAATATTAAGATTCATATAAAATTTAAAAACAAAAGAAACAATAAATTTAAACAAATAGTAAATTTTATAAAAAAATTATAAGTGTATAATTAAAAACAATAGGGTAAAATAAACTTTAAAAAGAAATAAATTTTGGAAATGTTTCGGGAAAAGTAGAATTTTAAGAAACTTGCGAGCAAGAATAAATTTTTTGTATTCTTTTTTTTGTAAGAATGGAGAAGAAGAATGATATTTTCGGATTATTTTAAAAATAATTGACGGAGATTTTACTTTGTTTAGAATGCCTCGAGGTTCCAAAACACCTGAGGTGCAAAGAAAATGCAACTTTTCAAAATGAGAACCGGCGTAGGTATTTACTTAAACAGGCGTAAGTTTTATTAAGAATGTAGAAAGAGATAAATTTCGTGTGAAGGGACCTTAAACTTCGACCTACTTTTATCTATAAATACACACATTTCAAGTTTTGTTTGCACAAAATGCACGCCCTCCTTTCGATATAATATATATTGATATGAAATATATTGTACTATAAATGTATACAATATACCATATAGTACTTATATATTTATATACAATATATATCACTTTACGCGTATTCCGAGCACACGTATAATATTTCTTCTCTCAATGTTAATTTTTTCCGTTTATATTTCAGCTGCATTTATATAATCTTCTTTTTTTCAAAAAAATTTTCATTTTAAAAAATTTGCTTGAATTTTATTGAATTATATAAATATATGGAGGAAGTGAAAAGAAGATGAGCTCGACTCGTCAATATAAATAAATATAAAAAATTTCTATAGAAATTGACTAAATTAAAATTATACAAACTGATTGATAAACATGCTCAGGAAAATCGTAATATAATAATAGCCTTTTATTAACAAGCTTATGCGTCTGACGAAAACGGTCTTTTACTACTGATAATATGATTTCACGAATTTAAACAGATTATTCTATCTGTGACTAAAAAGGTTTTTGCTACTGGTAAAATTTAATAACATTAATTTATTAATACGTTCCGCCTGACGATGACTTTTATACTATATGTGTCCATATGCATGAAAAGAGGTCACTTTAGTTTCTTTCTATACTCGCATTGACGATCACGCAAAAATAATCCTTATTGAAATCGACAAAGTCGACCTTTTTCATGCGGACAGCCACATATACTTACTTATAAAGTTTACTAAATTATTCGTCGATAATCAAGAATTTTTATAAGTGATTTTAACTTAAAAGCAAATTATATAAATATTTTTTCAAAGGAACAAAAATTTATGTTTAATATCATTATTATTTATATTAATAATATTTACATGAAATCGACCTGATTCATGTCGGGGGGAGAGAGGTATAACAGAAGGTGAGATTAAGAGAGACATAGAAATCAAGGCACAAAAAATTCCATGGGCTTTTTTAAGGAGGAAAACCGGAAGTCTCAGCTGGTGGCGAGGATGCTTGCAAACCTCGGAATACCCATCACATGCCGAATCACTAACAGTCGAAGCACCACATCCGTTACCCCCATATTTTGATTCGTAAGTTTTTCAAAATGCACCTAAGAGCGAACTTCAACTGCAATATGAGAAAGTGCATACGTCAATAAATAATAATCAAAGCAGCAATTTGTCCATTAGTTGAAAAAAAATTATTTATAAATAATTTTTTATAAAAATTTTTGAGGTACCTACTTATTATTATCAATATAATAAAATTAATAACTTCATGCATAGGTAATTAACTTACAATATGAAAATAATGATGAAATTTAGAATCATTAAAAATTATTATGTATAATATTTATTTAAATATTATAACGTTATCTCATTATCTCACACTAAATATGAATAATATTACGTAAAATCGAACAAAATATTAAAGAGAATTTCAGTAAAAATTTTGGAAAAACAAAGAATACATTTAATTAAAAATTGCTTGCTCGTTATTATAAATGTATTTAAATTATTTTCTTGTTTCTGTAATTGTTTTGTTAATTTCTAATTGCTTGACCGCATGGCATGTAACTTATTTAAGAAATTAATTTTTGTAATCTTTACTTTTTATTAATAAGTTTTGTCTTTTGTATTATTATTGTCATTCAATCGCTTTTCTATTCTCTGTTTTCAATTGCACTTCTATACTAATTCGATTTTTCATTTTTATTATACAATAGCAATTAATTGGGGGGAAAATAACAAATAATTTTTCCAATAATTTGTATTTATTAATATATATATATATTATAATAATATATTATATTATCTATAATATAAAAGTGATAATATTATTATTTTGGTTTATTAATGTTATTCATTTGTTTTATTAGTAATAATTATTTAATATTATTGATATCACTTTTAATAAAGTAATTTAATTTGTTATTATTTTTAATTTTACTCTTAAGTTTTTTGTTGAGAATAGAGGGAAATTTTTTGTTAGAAAAATTTCTTGGTAGGAGAACTTAGGACAAGGAAATGCTGGAAGCAAGCGAACATTAATATAATAAAATTTTTTATTCAGGTTTGTCGACGCTGTTGAAGTATCTAAACCGAGGGACATGACCAAAACGACCATTGTAAACACAGAATACGATGAACGTTTTTTACCTACTGAAATTTACAGGTGAAAACAAATACTTTTCTATTTTATTCAATAATAATTATATTATTATTATTATTGTTAGTATAAAAGATATTAAAAAACATAAGGGAGTCACCTAGGTTATTACATGTTTTGTTTTGACTTTTGACAATAACTTTCGTTATAGGTCGAAATAATTGAAATTTAATTTAATGAATGTAAATGTTTGACTTTACTTATACAAATGATAAAATAAGTTTGAATTAAACATAATATATGTTTGATCCAAAAATATCGTTCTCTCAGTATACGAGGAAACGAAACATGAAATTTAAATAAAAACTGTGAGTTACTTGATTCAATCATAAATATAGTTTATAACAAGAATCATTTTTCCAATATATCTTTCTTTGATAATTAATTCTAACTATATTTTCATCTATTAATTAATAAATTAATTAGAGCACGGAAGGGTTCGTAAATTGTATAAAATTTGTTATTAGTATTCGAAAAAATAATTAAAGTTTGTTAAAAAAATTTGTAGAAAAATTATTCAGAACAACAAAATTTTTGCAATAAATATGAAATTGAATTTTGAAAAATCGACAGATTTCCAGACGAAGACACGACAATTACTGAAATCGCGGAAATTGAAACTGTTCTGTGATGCTGGAGTCTGGCTTTTGACAGTTTCCGTTGAAAACATAAGAAACGTTTTATGAGTTCTTCTTTGAAACTGATTTCTGATAAGAAATTCATCGCTTCAATGGAAATTTAAAACAAACATAAAATGTACCTCACTTAAATTATATATTGCGAGGAACATTTTTTTCAAGTATGTACCTTTAATTCAAGAAAAAATTTCTACGGAACACCGATTTGCAACATCGAGCAGCCATTTTCATATTTGGCTATATTATTAATTATATACGTAAATACTGTGTATGAATGTTTTATTAATGTTTCAAAATATTAATTCTCTGACATCCATTGCATTATAAAAATTTCGATTAGAATTGCGATGGCAAAAGGTTATCAAGAAAAATATGATATAATTCAGTGCCTCCACTCATTCCTAAAAAAATGTGCATTTCATTATAGAATCATCATTTTATAAAAGTAATCAGTAAGCATTTCTTTTCATGTTCATTTTCAGTTATTAAAAACAAAAGGTTTTTAAATAAGGATATGAAAAGATAAATTTTATAACTGCCAGGGGGAGCGAAAATTTCTAACAATTAATTAATTATTAAGTTAATATTTTTTGAGAAAATTATTTGAAAACTTATATTTTAGCTATATATAGATGTATTAATAATACAATCAACAATAAAATTGAATAGTTCTGTTGAAAAAAGAGAATCAATAGTAAGAAATCAAATTTTTTGAAATGTTCAGAAAAGAGAAAGATAATTAATATGTTAAATATTGGTGGCTAAAATTGATGTGTACCATACTAAATAAATATTAAATTTAAATCTATGTTGGATAAAGATCACACAGTAATATACATATTATACTGAGAAAAAAATAAATAAATATATTTAATATACTAAAATAAATATACATATAATAAAAAAATATCTTGGTCAACAGTCAGATATTCTAAATGATACTTTGCAAGGTGAATCTGCTCAAAACGTAGAGAAGAGATTAACAGTTGACATTAAAGATCTATTCAGCTGATACAATTTTTCCTTTGCAATTTTTTTCGTTTTTAAATTTTTAAAAAAAATTTTCCTCTCCCCCCAGTTTTTTTTCGTTTTTTTAAATATTGCAAAAAATTTTCTCTATAAAAAAGACTTTCCGCCTCTCAAAATTCTTTTTTTTATTCTTTTCTCCTTGCAAAAACTTCCCCTTCTCTCCATGAAGTTTCTCACCCTACCACTGATGCACCTACCTTAGTTAATTTAAAATTTTTAATCGAAAATTCTTTTTTTTAAATAACTAAAACAAAAATGGGAAAATTGTGTCTCCTGAGTGAACTTATATTTATCGTATGCCGTTCAATTCTATTGGAAAAAGTGTTTTTCTTATTGAAACGGTACTCGATTTAATTCGAATTTACTTGTCAAGGAGAAATATTTCTCCAATGGGGAAAATACGTTGGTAGTCTTAATGAGATATTATGTGAAATATTATTTATAAGTGGTTAGCTATTAAAAACTAAAACAGTTTAAGACATAGTACCTCAAATTTTAATGTAATAAAACTAAGTGGCTGGTGATTAATCATTAAACAATACTCAGTTAATTATCACCGAGTAATAAAGAAGACTGCAGATTTGCGAGCTTAAAAAAATTTCTGTAAAAATATCCATTTTTGAGTACACAAAAAATATATACTTCTTTTTGATAATTAAATCAATTAATTTGAAAAGATTTGTTCTTTCTACTTTTCTTAAATTCAATATTTTATCGTATATTTCTTGTTTCATTATTTTTTATATTTGACTTAATTATATGATTATTTTATTTCATAATTCTTGATTTTCATTTTTTTTTCTGTTTCTTTTAAGGGACGTTTCAAGTCAACCGTCCCAGAGCTCTGTCCAAAATTCTAATCTATAAAAATAAACATGCAATAGATTAAAATCCTCGGAAACTAATACCCTTTTAATAAAAACGTGGCAGAATTCAAAATTCAAAATAGTGTATTTATGCTACCGCTTTAAAGATGCTGTACTCGTGAATGAGTAGCGATCCCGAAACTTCAGATTCGTAATCAACAACCACCAAAACCCGCGGGCAACAAGTTTCAAGCGAATTCAATAAATCTTTAAAAATTCGTCCGCCATATTTGATTCGCCTTTTTAAAATTTAAAAATTTTGAAAATCTGACTTCGGATTCGTAATCAGCGACCCAAAAAACATTAAAATATGTCATGACTTAATATTTATGCACTATTTTTAGAAAGAAATTAATATACGTATACTCACTTTTTTTTGAATACAGTATCTTTAAAGCGGTACCATAAAGACTCCATTTTGAATTTTCAATTCTGACACGCGTTTCTGTTGAAAGGGAATTAGTTTACGAGTATTTTGATCTATTCCATGTTTATTTTTATTGATTAGAATTTTGGATAGAGCTCTGGACCGATTGACGTGAAACGTCACATATATAAGAAAATTTTGTTTATAAAAAACAGAAAAAAGGTACACTGAAACTTTAGAACCTCGCATTTCTGAAAATAGTTGGGTTTTAGCCCGATCAGTTTTTGAAATTTGTGTTTTATTTTTCTAACAAAGAATTTTAAAAAAGTGAAAGTTTTCAAAGGAGAATCATGAAGGTGTCTTGTAAATAAATAAATATATATATATATAATTAAAGGAAAAATATTATAAATTTAAACTGTATCTCGTGTATCAAGTATTTCAAAAATAATAATAATAATAATTTATTGTAAAATTATGGAATTTTATATATATATAATGTTGAGAGAAAAGCAAATGTCAAATGAAATAACTCTAATGAAATGCTTCCAAGATTCACAAGATTTGCAAAAAAAAAAAAATAATAACATTTTATTGAATCAAACAATTAATATATGCATGTCAGAGTATGTTGTTAAGTCAGAACACGTTGTTAATATTGTTGTTAAAAAAACATAAACGTTACATTGTTAAGTCGAGTGCCGAATACAATTATCCTAGAATTTTCAAAGAAAATAAGTTTTTAAACTACCATAATATTATTATGTTTTTAAATTTGAAAAATAGAGGTAACATTTTTCAAAATGGAAATAAAAATGTAATAAATTGAATAGGAAAAATTAATTTTTTTATTTAATACAAAAATAATTTTGTTTTCTTTATATATTAATTGAAAATTATTATAAATTTATTATTTTTAAAAATTTAATATAAAATTTCATCCTATACAATATATTTTTGGAGAATTAATTAAGAATTATACAATATTATGTAAAATTAAGTAAAATCTGTATTAGTTCTCATGTTCTTCGTATTTCAAACTGACTTACCAGTTCTATTATTGATATAATATGATGAAAAATCATCAATCTCATGCTAAATATGATAAAACAGATTTTTTAGTTATGTTCGAAAAATTTTATTCACCTCTCATAAACTTGAATGGATAATGTTGAGAATGGAATAAAAATTGGTCCACTGCAGGTAAAGCAGTTCTAATCTTTCATTTGTATATCTCATCATCCTCGGATGCTGTACCGACTGCAATCGCACTCTACAGTGCTAAGAATTGACTCACTTATCAATTGTTGATGTACAGTTTTGTTAAAAACGAACTTTTCATTTTCGATAGAGCTCTAATTTATTAATTTATGAGAATCTAAAATTTTTAATACATATTTATCAATAATATTTTTTTATATGGAATTCTAATTTATACTTAAAACTTGAGATTTTTTAAAATTAATAAGAAATTGCACTGATTAAAATTAAAATCTCTAATCAGTTACTTCTACAATTCCACTATTTTACTTTACAAACATGTATATTTTTGAACAAGAACCCTCCAATCATAAAATATTTTTTTGATTCTACTTACATTTCTTTTTATTAAATTTAAATCAACGGCTTTAATAATAATACGAGCTATTAATATTAATTATTTAATATTTTAAAACAAGTGAATAGTAATATAAAAATATATATATATAATACATATAAAAAAAGAATGTCTATCCAAATAATCGTAAAACAACGAATCTCGAAAAATCTTAGTAAATTTAATTTCAATGTTTCAACATTTTATTGCATATCAATAATACTACTTCATAAAATAATGAACTGAATCACAAGCGCACAAATTTTTAAAATGGTTCAGACTCAAAATTGTTTTAATGTATTGATTTTATTTTTGCAAATTCAATTTTGAAATTAATTTGTTTCATAATATTATCATTTTAAAAGTATTGATAATATTTTCTATATGATTAATAATTAATTATTAATAATTAAATTAATAATGATGAATAAATAATTGAATTTATCAGTGATCGTTCAATTCAATTTTCATATTTTAGTTAAATTAATAATGATTAAAAAATATTTGTATGTTATAATACCAAATATGTCATTAAAAATCTTATTCTTTAATTTTTACGGTTTAATTAATGAATTTATTTATTTATATAACAAAATGATTGGAAGGGGTTTTTGTAAAATGTCACAATTAATTTTTGTTTTGTAAAATCTGTGTCACTCTTGCATTTTTTTTAAAGTGTTATGTGACGAACTTTGTACCCTAGAAAAAATTGCTGTGAAGCTGTTATAGAGTAAAAATGCGTAAGTGTGTATAACAAAAATGAGTCATATACCTAATGACTGGTATTCTGAATTTAAAATGTGAACATTTATGATTAATGTTTATCAATTAATAATAATCTATTCATTCTATTCAATAAAAATATTAAAAACAATTCATTTTTAGATAAAAATTTTGATTAACATATTTTCAATTTCTAATGGAAATAAATATACAGATTTAAAGAATATATATATATATATATATATATATATTATATCTGCCGTGTTTTTGAGAAACACAGTAAATAACATTTTTATCATTTCATTAAATATTTACTATACAAAGTTATCATATCAATAATAATAATAAATACTATGATAAATATTGAGTAATTGTACATTTTGCAACGAGAGCAGAAAGTAGCCGTTTTCCGATGAATTTGTAAGTTGATGCTCGAGCGAAGCGAAAATGCTACTTTCTGTTCGAGTTGCACACAGTGCTCTGTGCAACAGCTGCAAGAAAAAAAGCTATTTTATATGTTGTTTTAAAGAATAAATTTAAGGTTATGTTGCCTAATATGCCTGAAAGTGTGCAGAAAAGTGTACTTTGCTTCCCCATTTTATCAAAATGCAGAAATCAACAACTTTGTTCGCTGGATTTACGTTAAAGTAAAGTAGTGCTTTTTTTGCAGGTGTTGCACAAAAAATATTATCCTTTAAATACATAGAGTTATGAAAATTTTTTTTTAATTTTGAAACCCTGCGTTTTTGAAAATGTGATATTTATATTATGCAAAACGGTTTAAATTCTGAATACCAATTGTTTATAATTTAAGTAGGATAAGCTCGACAAGTCGAATTAATGCAATTTTGTCAAGATCTGCATTAAAAAGTCACGAGTAAATAAAAGAAATTAATAAAATGTAAATGGAAAATGGCGAGAAATTAATAGACAAGCTCGCAGTGAAAAACTATTGCACTTTGTCATAAATAATTTCATAAAAATTTCAATTTTTAGAATATAAGTAATTCAATCTAAGGCAATATAAATATACATAAAAAATGGGAAAACGCGATTGTAAATGTTGATTCAAATAAACATTGTTGTTTTATAATTCTTGATATTCAATTTTTTTTCATATACATTTGAATAAGTTGATTTATTCTATGTTTAGAAAAAGCAATTTACTATTTTCTCTTTTGATCCTCTGTCATTATTCTTTCGTCTTACTTGCTTTGATTTTCCTGGCCTTGATTGTACAAAAGTGACATTATTCATTTTCGTATGGGACAAACATACATATAAAGAATTATGATCTCTTAAATAAAAATAACACGAGTTTTATAAGTATACTTTTTTTTAGTTCCTTTTCATCCTGTATAATTCACTTGTCAAACTTTTAAAAGCTAATCTGTTATATAAGAAGAAAGTCAGTATATAAAAGCATTAAAATATACATAGTTCTTTTGATTTCAATATCAATTGTATTTAATATTATTCCTGCAATAAGTTGCAAAATAAAGATCGTACAATCTATTCAGTGAAGAAAAGTAGTATCAGATAGTCAGACATGTTTAACAATGAAAAATACTGTGCATAGACGGAAGTATAAAATACAATTTTGCTGCACATTTCGCTAAATTGAGTTCAAGGACTGTCACTAACCGAATGATTCATCCGCTGAAGTTGGACATGTGAAGAAGGGCTATTTTCCCACACTTATCTTCCTTCTTTTCCCCTCCTTATTCTCTATACTTAGCACATATACAGCCAAACCAGGTGTGCAGAAACTAGGTCGATCCCTCGTCAAAGGATATTTGTTCGGGAATTTATCAAGAACTTTTCTCCTTTATCGATATGCTTGCCGTACTTTGATGAAAAATCGACATACCACTAATTGGAACCATCAATCTAAATAAAATGAATATATGTATATCTTTTGATTCTGACGAAAAATTCCCATTTTCTTTATTGACTTCATTTCCGTTTCAATCAGTGAAAAAATTGTTTCTTTATATTCAATTTCAACTATTTATTTATAATTATGATAAATAAAATGTGTATTTCATTCTGTAAGAAATAAGTGGCATAAAAATATTCCGTGTAAGAAATGTTGGTTGAAAAGTAATTATCACGAGAAATACGTATTTCATGATAATATCAGTTCAAGATACAAGTTAAATAAAAAGTTTATGTTTTTTTTGTAGAGCGAAGCGTTGTGGAAATAAGAAATAAGTAACTAAAGTTTCAGAAGCAAAGAATAGGATTTAAGAAGACGCAAAAAAGACATTCTGGGATAACATCGTGGCACTATAAGATCGTTAATGGGAAATTCTTGTATCCGTAATCGAACTATATACTCTTGAGTAAATGTGACTCGAACTTTGAAAACCGATAAAAGAAAAACATGCCCGGGTAAGTAACACTTTTTTTATTGATTAGACATTTAAAAAAATTTCGATATAAATAATTTTATTTTCAATGATTTTTCGTCGACGACAAATATACAATTTTCTCATTTTTCTCATGTTCTCTACGAAAAAAATTATATATAATTAGCGATTTAATTACTAGACACAATAACTATTTATAGGATGAGAAAGTTTCAATATTGTTTAAGTTGGCAATTTTAAAAAGCTTTTACACAAAGAATTGGATTTCACCGTTCAACGTCAGTTAATATATAAGAGAGACAGTACGATCAATGTGTTGTCACATCGCCTTATTTTATGACTAAGGTTCTTGCAGATAAATTTCGAGTGCAGCAAAAAACAGGCAGAAAACTATTATAATATATATTCAAGGAAAACTGCAGAATGATGTTAATTAAATATTTAAATTCTATGTTACATTCTTAAAACAGTCAATTACAATTAAAATAGGATACTGACATTGTACTTTACTATTTAATTAATACTTAAAAGACGTTTGATCTTGCGCTGGTTAATCTACTTGATGATATGAAACTCGGAGAATTTATACAGACTGAATTTTAAACACTTCTTCCAAATCACTGTACAGTCATTTACAATTAGAAAATTTCTAACTTTTTTACAATTTTAAAAATTAATTTACTTGATTTGGAAATTAAATTTCATGGTAATAATTAACCCCTTCGCAGTGTAGCAAAAATAAAGCTTCAGTGCCCCGTATGTGGGAAAAAAATTTTTTTTTTTAAAATTAATATTAAAAAAAACCCGAAAATCTATGAATACCCATTGACAAGTTTATTGTATTGTTAAAATAATGAAGTAAACGATTATTAAAATAATGAAGTAAACTATCGATAATTTATCATATTTTGTGTCTACTTATTTTTTTTGAGATGCCGCTATAGCGGTCATGCACACTGGTGGCACGACATTTTTATGCCTCTATAGAGGTCAATAACAGTGAAGGGGTTAAAACTAAAATAGCAGTGGTGTGAGTTCTTAAATATACATAAAGCAAACGTTTTACATTTGGAATTGAATTACATTATTGTATAATATCATTACGAAAATTGTAACGTTGCATACATTGTAACGTCATTATAATTTTTATTATTAAATAATTAATTAATTTTTATTAAATTAATTAATAATTTAATATTATAAACATATAAATAATAACATTCACCCAAATGGTAAAAAATTACAAGATAGAATGAATGGTACTTTATATATTTTGCATGCAATTTACCAAAATTTCAATTTGGCATTTAGTATCTGTAAATAAATGCTGGCACACATTTAAGATTATTGACTATCTATTAGTATATCAATCCATAGATCATTTTGTTATTTTATATAAATAAAATAATTGAAAAAAGAAAAATTATTTTTATTCTTTTTCTTTCGCAAACTTTCTTTGATTTCTTTTGAGTGTACTTTTAGTTTTTATTTGCATTCAATCACAATCACTGAACTTCACAGACAAAATACGTTTCAAAACTGCAAGGACTGTCATTCCATTTTAAACCTTTTCCATCCCTGTTCCATAATTCCAAACAGTGTTCCTCTTCACCATTTTCGTATCTAAAAAATGTTCATCATTTTTCAAAACAATTGATTTGTACGAAATTTGTTTTTGTTATTTTCATTATTATATAATTTCAATTTCAAAAATTAAAGTATAATATGAGATTGAGAAAATACCGGAAGTTATTGGGTTCGCCAACGTTCCAATTTTCAAAGGTTATTGGTCGACCATTGGCCATCCAGAAAAAGGTTCCTTCCTCTCCCTGATCGGTACCGGAAGTCCAAAAATGTTCATGACCAAGTCCAAAATCTTTTATGTGCTTTTCTAGCCTGTCATTTTCTTCCTGCGATGAAATACTCGCCAAATGCATTCCATGATATCGACAATATTGAGATGCTCTGTACCAATTGGCCTAAAAAATGTATTCATAAACGAATTCTTATTTACAAATATTCAAATAATCTTCAAAAATTTTGTTATAGTCAAAGATATTTTTTCTTACAGACAACTACCTTTATACTTTTAAAATAGAATAGAGTATTTTTTGGATAATTTCAAATTGGGGCTAAAAATTTGAGAATTTAATTTTCATTCATATTTTATAATTAAAGGTTAAATTTTAATTAATTTCTAAATTTAGTTATTTTCTTCTTTTTTCTAATTTTGAGTAGTACGTTACTGTCGGACTAACTAAAAATTAATTTCAAATGTATTATGTTGAGTAGTCAAGGATGATTTTCGTCAAACAACTAGTTTTTAACAAATATCGAAATAAATAGTAAATAATAAAATTTAGCCAAGTTTTCTCTTTTTGAGAAATATTATTTTTTTACTAATTTTGTTTATATCCTTTATAGAACAGATATTTCTCGTTTCTTTTTTTTCGTTTGTTTTTTCGTATAAAATCGATGGAAAATAGGACAGAAAACATGTTCGAATTTCCCTGTTTGCTGAAAACTTCGCACCCCCAGAGAAAGTTTGCAAACCAGAGACCAATGTTTCATCTCGAGTGGTCGCTCGAATCGTTTTGTGTCATTGGGGGGGGGGAGGGATGCAAAAATGCAATGCGACTCGGAAAGAATGTAAATAAAATGCCATAAATATGCGGCAGCTGCGATTGCATTGCATGGCACGTCGCATCACCAGTCTCTCTATTCTTTGGATTTTTTTTTAATTCCGAATCATCAATGCCTGTTATACTTTTACAATAATCCATCTTTACTTTTTTACATTCTCACCATCTCGCTTTTCTACATTGTTCCGCCAAACCTTCATATGAAATGTATTTAAATAAAATTTTTATTTCTAAAAAATCTATTATTTTTCGATTGTATTGTTCTCTCGTTTCAGTTCGAATGTAAAATTTCGTAACTTTATTGAAAAGGTATCATATTTTCATTGAAATACGATTGAATTTTGCTAATTATAATCTCTAGAATTTAATTTACATATGGATCTTTAATAGTTAAAAAATTTATGAAAGTAATTATTAACGTTCAATTAATATTATAATAATGATAAAAAAAGGTGGGATTTCAAATTTTTCGAATAATCTCTCTATGTAAATAGTTTTTTTTTCTTTATATGTGAAAATATTTAACACATCAAGTTATTTTTTTTATATTGATTCTATTTATGAATTTAATAGCACTTAATTATCCGTTATAAATACAGAATTTTAAATTTTTGCGTCAAGACAAAATTTAACAATGGGGCGAAAAGACTCGTGAGAAAATAAGCGCAAGGCGCATATATAGTTTTAATGCCGAAGCATCTATTTTCGTATCTTTGCAATAAATCCAGTTATTTGAGGATGCTTAATAAAAAAAATAAAACCTCACGAAGGGTGAAATTACGTTACGAGTTGTTGCACGCTATCGCAGTGTGTACCCCTTTTGCGCTTCTCTGCGCGATCTCGTGCACAAGGGAATACTCTCTCTCTCTCTCTCTCTCGAGCTTGTGTTCTTTATGCATTCTGGGGACGACATATATAAATTTTATGGAAGCAATGTATAACCCAGGGTCGCTCTCAGTTAATTAAGACGCATAAATAAAATATATGTATATACATATTTCGAAACCGCCTTCTATTATGCCAAAGAAAAATATTTTTCTCCACCTGCAATTTATTTATATCAATAAAAAGTGAAAATTAAAAATAACTCATGTATTGTAAAAAACAGTTCTTTTTTATCTCACGTGTCTTTTTGAAATCAAAACTTATTAGGTGAACATTTATTTCTATTTATCTAATTTGGAAATTTATTTCGTTTTAAAAATTGTAATTTATTATTTTCGAAATAAATGAGTAAAATAATTTATTTATTTGTTGTACATATATAGAAAAAAATGTAATTGTTCGTGGCAAAGGATACTTATCATGCTCATATCTTTGGGGAAAACTTTATGTAGTATGGAAATTATCGAAGCGTAACGCATAGAATGATATAATAAGAATCCATGAGGGAATATGATTCATGTTTCTCGTTAAGGAGTTCCATGCAAAATACGTTGAAATGAAGGTGAATCGATAAGAGCGAGAGAGTAAACCCTTCCCTGCGTGAGATTTCTCTTACAAAATCAAGAAGAGAAGCCGTCATACATTGTGCAAATCCCTTTCCACCACTTCCATCACTCATCGATGAGTTTTCACCTCGAAAGCAGTTGATATTGCATGGCGAAAGTAATGTAAAAATTTGGAAACTTTATTTACAAATCCTCACTACAAAAACGAACGTCTGCTTCAAATGTAGACACTGAGACATTTACAAATTAATGTTTTTTGTAGGTAAGAACCTAATTTAAGCCACGAAACATAATCTCTAAAATACGCAATTTTTCGAAGCAAAAGAGATATCAAAAAGTCTATTAAAAATGTCACTCAAATGATGATACTCGTTTTTCAGTAGCTGGAATAAAGTTTTTTTAAAGCTTTTTTAAAATTCTTTTAAAAATTTGTGTCTTCTCTTAGAAATAAATTCTTTTAATTGTTTTCAGTATTTGTAATATAGTATCAGTAGTAAAAGTCCGTTTTTAGTCAGACGTATCGAATTCTTGTGAATTTCGTATCACCATTAAAGATCAGCTTCAGTTGGACAACGCTATCAATTTTTTGTATCGGTAGTAAAAGTCAGTCGCATCCAACAAGTTTGGATTTAATTATAACTCAAAAGATACATAATTCTTCAATGTTATTTAAATTATTGTATCAATAAAAGTAACTTTTAAGCAGACAGTACGCACTGTTAAAAATGTTGGTAGTTTTAATATACACAAAGAGCTCAAATTTGTATGTATTTGCATGTAATGCAAATACATGCACACTGTAAAAAAATTAAGGAGTTAACGGCACCGGGAGTTAAAAATCAACTCAAAAAATGAGTTAATAATAAAATTAACTTCTGAAAACTAACTCCCTAGGCATAAAATTAATTCGTAAAGCATTAACTCCCTTCGCTTCAACTCCAAAAGGGTGGGACTTTAATGAGTTGAAATTCAACTCCTTTTTTACAGTGTATATGAAACATTAATAAACAATTAAAATTAGGAGACCTTAAATTTACATGTACATTAAAATTCAATGGCAATATTAATATAACCTAGTATCAGTATTATTCGTATGTCAGACTTAGGACTTAGGGACAACTTGAACAAATCTGGTTAAGATTTAATCAGTGATTAGTTCCTTAATCGACCAATAGGGATCAGTTAAACTGACTTTTATAACAAATTACCTCTTAATCAGAGTTGGTGAAACTGCCACTCAATAACGAAAATTAATGTAATTTAATAAAATAAAATTAATTTTTTTTTCTCTCAAATTTGATTTTTGTACTTTCATCACAGAAATGATAAATTTTTTTAACTGGATTATAAAAATTGAAGTAGAGTAAAATTATTACATTCCAGTTTTTAAGGATTGAATAAAGATAATTTTTGTGGCCAAAATCTGTAAAATTTCCCGTAAGAGGGTTTAATTTGAAGATGGTTGTAAAAATTGACTGATTTTCATTATTTTACTTTCTCATTTTTATAGGTTTCTTTTTTTATGAACCAAGATTCACAGAGACGAACATTGTCTGACTTTTAAATATGAGCTCTAAAAAGTGTAATAAAGACCGTACGCCTTTATAGGGCAGCAGATAAATCGAGTAAAGTGACAGTTCGCTTACAATGAAAAAAAAATTTATTTGAATCAAATAAGAGTTATTTGATCCAATTAAAATAATTGACTTGTCAATTATCCAGTAAATCTTCATTTTTACAAAATAAATATGCACTTGATCTAAATATTATCTAAAAATAAATAATTTTTAAATAATTTTTAAATAATTTGAATTAATTGAATGAAATAAATTTTTTTCAGTGTACCTTGAAAAAGATCCCCAGGTAATATCTTTTCTCGCCTAGTTTCAAAAGCGGCATCGTCCATCTCGAAACTGCCAAGTTACCCACATTTTCATCAACACAATTTGGACAATCGTCTAAAAAATAAATTTTTAATTAAATTTTTTCATTTACATTTTTCTTTTTTTTAATGTACTTATAATTATTTTTTCACAATTTTATGTTACATTAAAATAACATTCAAAATATATTAAAATAATAAAAGGTGTTTTTCCTTTCTAAAAAAAGACATGAGCTGAAAAGGTCGAATGGAAATCTCTAAAACTATTGAGAAAAATTCAACTTTCAAACATTATTAGATCTATTGAAAAATTATATTTGTGATGGCAAAGCACTAAGTACGAATAATTAATTATTTAATATCTATATTAATTTATTATGTTTCTACAAGTATTTATAATTATGACCTGGATATAAATAAAATTTAAGAAATAATTAAATAAATTACAAAATTTCTAATAACATACAAACTTTAAAATTTAAAAAAAGCAAATAATTTAATAAAATTTTTAAAAAAATTTAAAGAAATTAAAGTTCTATTTAAAATTTCATTTTCAAATATTACAAGTGCATTACGGTGCAATCGTCTTGTTATATTTTTTCGCATTTAGTATTTTATGCTTTCATCTCTTCTAATAATAATAATAATAATAATTTAAACATCTGATGATTACCAATTAATGACATAAGATTTATGAATGTGCGTAATTTTTATCACACTCGCATTATACTTTCGAAATATATTGAGAAAGATAATGTGTCTTCACTCTAATTATGTGCCTTCAATTAGCCGCAATTTGCTCGCTACTAAATATCAATCAAATGACTTTTGTGCAGCAAAAATGTCCATCTCAGTAGGACAAATATATTTTATTGTAATACTTTGTAATAATTTGTAAAAAAATATCCTTAAGCACTTGAGAGTAGTTTCGAAATAATCTATTAAATTATAATTAGACATGGACTTTTGCGTGAGAACCTTGAATTTCAGTAGAACTTTCGTTACATAATCAGACAAGAGAAGTATATCATTTCTCAGATATTTTTTATATATTTGTAATATTAACTTTACTATTTTTATAAAGTAATAGTTTTTATAAAATACTTTTATAAATTTATATAATATATACACTGTCAAAAGAAGATCTTATTTTCAGATGAGTCTTAAAATCAGCGCTAGTAGCTCTAAGGAAAATTGCATTGCGTAAATTCAGCATAGCTGCCTTAAAAATGTTGCCTCTTAAAATAAGACCTCTTTTCGGTCTTGAAATAAGACTTTCTTTTTACAGTGTATAATAGTTTAAAAAAAAATATATTTTTATAATAATTATTACAAATTTTCAACTTGAAAATGTATAATAAAATTTGGTTGTCAAAAAATCTTGGCACGTTCACCATTCTTTTTTTTGTTATGAAAGCTTTTTTAAACTTTTCGAAAAATTTTTTAATATTATTAGAAAGTGCCACCATTTTGTAACTGCTGTTTACTAATTTTTTATGGAATTTTTTTCGCTTCATATATTCATTTATTGTGATGGGACTCTCTCATAAAGTTATGAAGTGAAGCTTTACAACGTTTAAATAAAATCAACATCTATAGGTACTCACCTTTTCATTTTATATTTTTCATACACAATTTATTTATTAGTTTTAAAAATAAATTAGTTAACAACAGTCTGGTTTATATTAAATGTTAACAAAATATTTTAAATGTACAATGAAACTATTTTTAAGTTTAAATTAATAGTGTTTGCGAGAAATTGAGTAAACTGCTAAATAGATTAACTGAATCTCGGTGGAAATTTGATATTGTATACCTATAGCTTTCCGTTTGTTACTTAGCAGTTGGTCAGATTGTTTCGATCGTAATGAACGTCAAGAGAACTGTTTAGTTTCGTAACGTGATAATAGATGTTGAGATTCAAAAGGACCTCACATTCTCATTGCATAACCAAAATGCAGAAATACTTGTGCATAATTATTTTCATAAGCAAATAGAAATTTGTGTCACCTTTATATTAGTGATTACTCTCAAACACTTTATTATTTAAATAATTGAAAAAACGTGAAACAATTAAAAAAATTGCAAGTTTGTAAATTTAATTTAAATAAAAAAACATATTAGTTAGCAAATACATTGGGAACCAAAGCATTGGAAAGTTAATAATAGAGATCCTTTCAGAAACAAGTGAAATTAAATATTTACCACTTGTCCGTTAACCAAATAAGTCTGCTTCTATTTTATAAAACGTACCATCAAGCCCTTAATCTCTCGATTAATAAAAAATCGTTCATAAAATGAACACTTGAAATGTTTAGAGATTAAACTTTTCCCCGAGCGGTAGTATTTTAAGATTTCCCGTTGAAAAAAAAGAATAAAGATAAAAAGAAGAAAAAAGGCAGTATATTGAGTGGAGTGGATTTAAAATTTAACGAGGTGATGGGAGTGTTACGCAAGTTATTTTTACAGCACAGGAAATATCATGAAACTGTAATCAGTAGTATCACCGTAAGAGCTATCGATTGAACGCTTATTTATTTGTTCAGAAATACAAACACGTTTCAATTCAAGTTCTTATTTCTCTTGTTTTTATTCCCTTTATAACCTTTACATCGTACCAAAAAAGTGTTCAATTTTCTAAAAACTTTCAGTACAAGTAGTGCGTTGTCAAATTTATTTATCATCTTCATTTTTATTTTTTTTATTCCTTTTCATTGAAGCCATCAGTTAAGCTTATAAAATTTCTTATTTATAGACTTATTTAAAGCTGCGTATAGCTAATTTCGACAAAAAAATATATGATTAAAAAAATCTTCATAGACTCTGTCGTGTAGTTTTTGGCTTGTTTGTAACGCCTACACGCCCTCAGATCCGTCTTGAACAATATAGAATCCAGTCGTGGATTATTACACACCATTTTACACTGCTATTTGGAAATAGTCTTGCTCCTACATTTATTTTATTTGTCAATACTACTCTATCATATATATCTGCCTTAAAACTTAATAACATTCAATTAAGTTATGAGCTGATCGGTGCAACTATACCCTATTTAACAAAATGAAAAAATGAGAGCTGAAAATAACAAAAATAGAATAGGTTAAAAAATAATTTACCCTAAAAAAAGGATAATTAAGATTATAAAAATTAATAAAAATGAAAAGATTTAGATGATGGGAAAAATTGAAGACGATAGATCGTAAAATATTGAAGAAAAGCAAAAGTGGAATGTGCGAGGTGTATTACTTATTAAAATTTATTATCGTAACATATGTATGTATATTTCACTTACGTCTTATAGACGTTACATCGAATAATTTTTTGCGGAGAAATTCTGTTGGCAATATAATGTACTACATGTGCCTGGTCACGTGATCAAAGTCAACATTACATATATATATATATATATATATATATATATATATTTTTTTTTTCCTCTATAATGATCATATATAATATATTCGTCGAGTGTGTTCATTTGCAATATATCATCTGTCCATCGATAGTAACTACGTTCGATTGTTAAATATACATTGGCGCACAAGCTTTACGAGAGAATTTTATACTACATAACTCCATTGCAGTAATAGTAAATTCCTCATATTGAAATCCAGATTAGATTTCTATCATTTTACCTAGCGCACCTGCACTTGTAGGAACTACAATGGATTGGAATTCAGTCAAATATATATTCGTGTCAGTAAATAACGAGTTCAACCTTTATAACCGTATTCTACATTCATTATATTTCACAAGTATATATGATCGCAATTTATGTTATTTCATAAACTTAGAAATTTTATTTACTACCCATAGAGATATGTATATCTCTATTCTTCATTCAAACAATTTTCATTTTCTGTTTTCTTTAATAAATAATAATTCTCAGCTATTGAATTTTTTAAATGTCCTAATTTCTATGGCAGTAAACTATGAGGTATTAAAAAGAGTTGCAGATAAAATTCATACCATAAAAGATTAAAACAATCTGTTTTTAGGATTAAATTAGTTTTTTAATATATCGTATAAATATAAAAGTTTCCAAGTGCAATTTTTAAAAGTTTGCAATTTTAATCTGTGGATGGATTATTTTAATGGTTTTTTCTAAAGAAAAATAAATAAATAATTCTTTATATATTGTATATATCCAACAGATGTCGGTAAAAACGGTATATTTACTGTATAAATTGAACAACAAGGGCAATGCATACTAATGTGACAATCAAAGCTTAATCTGATTGTGCGCATACAAACGCATTCGACCCTCCTCCATCCCTCTCATACCATGTTTTGATCATCAACCTTTTCTAGTCTCCATGTTATACACATGTAGATTTCACCGAAACCGACAATATAGGGACGAATCAGTCCGCGGAAAACGAGAAAATCGTCGTTTCATTTAACTGGGAATAGATTTTACTGCCTTTTTCTCTCAGATCGGAAACGAAACCAGTCACTGGCTGGAATTGACGTGAAATCGGAAGCGGAAGTACACTCGTCTTGGGATAATCGTCTGATGGGAACGAACCGGCTGCTGTTCTACCGGAAATGTCCAGTCTCGAAAAATCAGGAAAATAGTGCCCAGGGATATACACAAAACTCGTATATACATATATACAATATAAAGGTAGATAGATAGATAGACCGAGAGAGAGAGAGAGAGTCTTCAGTCACGAAATCAATTTGTCATATTTTTATTTCGTTTAGCAGACACGATTTACTGTTGGAAACTTTTTTAACTTTTGGAAAATGCGAAGAAAAATATTAAGATAAAAAATAGTCAATTTTTTGTTTTCCAGATTTATAAATCATATGAATTCAAAAAGGATAATTATAAATATAAAAAAAATTATGTATCCATACGTGAACAATAAATTATATTAATCTATAATTAGGTATTCATTATTGAAGAAAAAAAGTAGATCTATAATTAATAGGAATAGTTTTATTAATAAAAATTTTAGTTTCAATGAATATATATAGCCATATAATGAAAGTGATATTTAAATACCAAGTTACGAACTCGTTGAGAGAAATTTATGCGCGAACTCTACTGGTCAGTAACTTTCTCTGATT